CGATGTTAACTAGGTAAACTGCCTTGACTAACTAACTTCGTTCAGAGTAGATTCGGTTGGAAGAGCTCTGGAACTTGCGATTCGGTGACGATAAACTCGGGTCACTGTTATAGCTTGGAGTTTGAAGTAAAGAGGGGAGAGTCTGAGTGGAGATCGAGAAGAAGAGGGGAGAGTTTGAGAAGGGGAGAGAACGACGAAGTGTGACCTATGTTCCGGGGGTAATTGGAAAGTTTGTGGTAAACGGGTACTTTGACAGAGGAGTAGAGATGAATAGAGAGAAACAGAGAAAGTGATCAGAGAGGATAGACGGGGAATGTAAATGGAGAGAAGATAGAATAGACGATTGGCAGTTAAAGCAGATAAATGTGAGAAAAAGAGAAAATGCGAGGAAGGGAAGGAAGGGGAAAAGTCATCGATCATCGAGATAAAAGTGGAGGGGCATGGGGCACTGGCAACTGTGGGTTTTTTATCTGTTCTTTTCAAGCATACAGTTTCATACACACAGATACATGAACGACGGATGTTTGGTATGAAACGTGTTCATAAGTATATGAAAAGTTGGAATGCATGGTTCTTATTTCCCATTTCCCATGCCGTCCTCTCCTTCATCCAACTTTGACACCAGATCCCCCATTCGACGGCCAAACCGTCTCAACCAGTCAAGCCAGTCAAATCAGAGACACCATCCCCGACATCCCCCTCAAGTCAATCTGTATACTCAACCCACCATCGTATCACTTTATAAACCTACTTGTCAGATTTCTTACTTATCCGTTTGAGCAAAAAAAGAAAGGAGGAAAAAGACCCACTTTAACATAAACTTTTTATGAAATTCACTCCTCAATAAATCATTCACAAACTCTCCTTTCTTCGGTTTATCACTAACACCAGCAGCTTGATTCTTGAATATGACATCATCATCCCATCTACGTTTCACTGCGAAAGTTGTTGTTGTCGAACCTGGTGTGGAAGGAGTTTGACCGAGGGCTGCTTGAAGGTTGAGAAGAGGATTACCGGTAGCTATTTCAGCTTCGCGTGAAGCGGTTTGTTTCGCTGATGATTCTGCTTCCTTCTGTGTCAGCGAGTTTATTCATATGGTCAGATTTACTCGAAGATACTGATCATTGTGAACTAAGGGGTTTACTCATCATATAATTCGATAATTTGGGGAAAGTCGGTAAGAAGGGTTGTGGTGTAAGTTTGAGAGGAGAGGTTTTGGTGCGAGAGGAGTGTATGTCACAGAGTTGGGGTGGAGATGTATTGGGAGGAAGAGACCTATTGGGAAGAGGAGATATATTGGGAGGCGGGACTTTGTAAAGAGAGTTGGTGAGAGAAGGCAGAGGACAGAGAAATCGGGTTGATGATAGTATAAAGAGTAAGATGGCAAGGATATAAGGAAACACAGAGAGTGACATTGACTCACCTGTCTAGCTTTCTCCGCTGCTCTTTCCCTTTTTATACTCTCCAATTCAGCCATCAAAGCGGCCGTTTCATCTTCATCATCCGAATCACTCTCTTCACTGAGAAATTAGCAAATTCCTCTTATTCTCTCTCCTTAAAACCATCACCTCATTACCCCTTACCTGTATCTTAACCTTCAAGTGCAAACGCTCAAAACTCACCTATCATCATCCTCTTCTGGTTCATTTTTTGAATCATCATCACTATCATCTTTATCCAATTCAGCAGCTTGTTCCAAAACTTTTCTTCTTTTCTTTCTTTCTTCATCTTCATCAACATCTTCACCCTCCTTATCCACCCTATCTATCATTACATCAGAACATCTCTCGACCATCCAAAAGGAAGAACTGACCTTGACCATCGGATGAAATTCTGAATCGTTTAGGAGAAGATTCCCCTTGACTTATCCTTAAATTCGTCGAAACGGTAACGGGTTCTTCTATTCCAGAAGCTTTCCTCTTCTTCTCAGCTGCTAACCTCTCAGCAGCTAACAGATCCGCACGTAGATCACGTCTAACTACATCGGAAGTGGAGGTTTGACCAGGTTGACGGAATTTCAATTTCGTATATGCCGCTAGAGCATGTTTGGAGACTTGTTGAGAACCGGATTTCGTTTCTCTTCCTTGAGTTGGGTTCCAAGTCGGACGATGGGCTTGTGACATTTTGAGATATCAGGTTTGAGGTTTGGGGGATGGGATACTTTGAGGGTTTGAGGAAGGAAGGATGTGAGTAAAGAGGAAGAAGAGGAAAGTTGAAATAGCGATGGATGTAAAGTTGAAGTGGGATGCGACTTTTCGTGGCGTCGTGTTGAGTAAATCGCATGTATACTGCATACAGAACGTATGACCCGTAGACTAATCCAAACATGAATGAGATCTCATAATCTGCATCGATATCTTAGCTGGACTCTCGTATTCTACTGCTTCATGCTTCACTCGCTGTGCATGTAGTAAGTGTGGGTATGCTACAAGTACTCTACTAACTGTAAGTACTCTACAACTACTCGTACTGTGCAGGTTCAAGTCACTCATATCCGAATGTGGCATTGTGGCATTCGAAGTCACTACGACACCCAATGCAATGGCGAAACAAGACAACCATGTGCCAGGATCAGTGTGACTACACATACTACTAATACCATAGTGATGATACGTGGAGAGACGAGGGAGGATGGAGAAATCAACAAATGTCGAACGATCACCGTATGAACCCTGCTGGGAAGAACGGTAATCATGCCATTCACCACCCACATAAAACGTGTCTTGTCAATGATGCATATTATGTTTTCATGTTGACTGTTATGATTTGAAATGAGAGATGCAATGTACAGAATTTCGTACGATGAAAAGTGTATGACGTGAAATGTGATTGGAAACATGAACAATTGATGGAAAACCTTCCCCCCCCCCAAGCCTTTTCGCCTACCTCAAATTCTCAACTCTTAAACTTTTCCTTTATCTTATCCTCATTAAACGCAGCCGTTTTCGACTCCAACATCGCCTCAATCTCTTCCAAACTCATCTTCATTTGTTCTTCTCCAATCGGGACCAAACATTTCGCCAATTTCTTATAATCCTTCCTTAACAAAGTAAAAGTAATCATGAGATAATCTATATTTGTAAAAACCAAAGCTTTTTCATCCGAATATTTTTTCTTTCCTTCCATGAAAGAAACAGGATGATCTCTCCAATGTCTTCTCGGATTTAAATGATGAGAAGTATGATAACCATCATTAAAACCAAAACGATTACTTGAAACATCTATCAGAGTGATAGAAGAACGATAATCTGAATTTGGATTTATGTCATCGACGAAAGCGTGTTGACCCCAATTCCCTATCATTAAACCTAATCTCATCACCACCAATGGTATTACCAAAGTGAAAATCGTCGCTCGGGTGTTTATCGTATAAAGGAAATAAATGGTAAAGTAATTTGATATTTCCCAAAATAAAGCTTTGAAAGCTGAAATAGGTTTATTTTTCCTTAAGAAATATAAAGGTAAATCTATCCATATCAAAAAGAAAAATCGAGCCCAATATTGAAGGAAATGTGAAATCGAATCTCTTTGATAACGAATTGTTGAGGATAAATCATTAGGTCCATTACTTTCGATATGATGATGTTTTACGTGATGATAATAATATGAGTTCCAAGTATGTCCATGTAAAGGATCGAAGATATAAGGAAAAGTTTGATCGATAATGTTCCATGGAAAGGATTTTATTAAAACTCCAGACATATGTATGTGTTGATGTTTCAATAAAGTGTAGGCACCCGCGTACCAGATTTGCATGAGGGTGTGAATCATACCGTGGAGATAAGTGAAATTTTTATATAGGTAGATGGTACTGGGTAATGAGGTGGAGAAGTAGAGGAGAAGATGAGTGAAGATGACGATATCTTTTGGATCACGGATGATTTTGGTAGCGAGTCGAGTGTAAGTTCGGAGGATTGGGTTGGTGGAGAGGGAGTGGGGTGAGATATCGAAGGTTTGGAAGATGGTAGGTTGGAACGAATGATGGTTTGGGTTATTGAGAGAACGTAGGTGGGTTATGAGATCTTGGTCTTTAGGTAGGCCTACTTGATTGACTAAACCATGTCAGTATATCATTCCTCTATTATGAATGTCTATGTTGTTGGACGTGAATTGGGATGTGAGAAAAGAAAAAAAGAAAAATTACCTACAGATCCATTTCCAACATGTTCATTCTCTGACTGTCCAACTTCTTTCAACTTCTCCTTGGTTTCCCTAGCGTTGATATCATCAAGAAGACCATTTAACACCAATCGATCTTGAAGTGTAAGATTAGGATTAACCTGAATTCGATGATGAGGGGAAGGAGACATTGATATAGGTCCAACTTGGGCAGGATGGGGATGGTTCGTGTGACCGTTAAGGGTTATGAAGGTGATGATTCCAAAACGAGAATGAAGTTTGAAAAGTTCAAGTCTGATCGGACGAAACGAAATGGTGAGTGGTGGTTGAACAAAGTGGAATGGGCGAAAATGATCGGATAGTGTTACAATATGTCACACTGGTCACTGGATGTTGAAAAATGATGTCTTTGTTCAACATGATATTCGTTCGGATCATATGAGCTTGGATAGTGACACGGGTAAAGTGATAGATAGACAAAGGAAGGAAAGTGAGTTAGGAATGGTAAAACAAGGGTGAAGGGGTTTTAAAGGTTTACTCTTCTTACTTTTATAATAATGTCTCTTGACTCAATGACAGTCGTCAGTTGCAAGCTACTATCGATCTACTTATCATCTATTCCGCGCAATACACCCTATCATCCACATCTCAAGGTCCTCAACTTGACTCAAGGTGGTCAGATATCCAAGGATATTAGACCCTATTCAAGCTTCTCATCACCTACCAACCGATCACCGACCCCTCAAGAAATGGTAAGTTAGTACTAAGCTTCTTACAGACGTCCACTCCGGGCACCACCCTAGTCTCGTCCGGGCACCACCTGCCACACTCAGGACGTTCAGGCACGTACCACCGGGATTTCAGTAACGCCGACCACCACGACGCGACATGTCTGCTCGCTACCTACCAACCTGTCTTCACCACCACTAATCTCTTTATCGTCATTTTACTGGTAAACTCACGCTCTTTTTTCACACACACGGTCTCCGCTTGTCTCAAGTATCATTTTGATACTCTTCTCACTCTTTTACGACTATTTTACACCGACTTCTGGCCCTTCGCCTTCTCAACCTGCGCCCTCCCTGACTACCACCCATCAAATCGTTATAACTTCCTACAGAGCAATTGTGATATTCTCTTGTGGCTTGTATTATCCTCCTGGACATTGATAGATAGGATAATGCATGGACAATGGCCGGGAATGACATGGTATAGCTAATAATGACATTGAAGATAATGACATTGACGATGTAAGAGGAGAGTGAGCAGAGGTGGCGGGATTTCAGTAACCCCGATCAGTGGCTAGCCCATATCCGTCGCGTGGTCGGCGTTACTGAAATCCCGGTGGTACGTGCCTGAACGTCCTGAGTGTGGCAGGTGGTGCCCGGACGAGACTAGGGTGGTGCCCGGAGTGGACGTCCTTCTTACATTCGTACATTCCATGTAGGTTCGACACCATGACCGTTCCAATCGGACATACCCTTCCTCTCGAAACCACCCACCACCCACTACTAGAGAAAAAAACGCCGTATGTACTCTTCAAATCAATGACATCACTTTACACAGCTATTCTTCCAACATCCTTTCTTCCTTCTCTCCCACCCTCCTCTCTCTCTCTCTGCTCTTACACCCCTTTTCGCCTCAATGATGAATGGTCAATAAATCTGTTGTTGAATTCTCTGACGTTTTACGATTCAAACTCCGATTGTCTTCTGTCTTCTGACGCTTATTGGTCAACTCACCCACGTTTTATTATAAATTGATTGAAAGGGGGTTTCTTTCTTTGAGATTTATCTATCTCACCGAATTAGGTGCTGCTTAATAAATATTCAACCATTCGATCTCTTTCAGACAAGGTGAAGAGTACTTACTGATTCCATTTGATCTCATTCTTCATTCCTCGTTACTAGACAATTCTACAACTTCATCGGATACTTCTCCCACTTTTCCTATTGGATCTCCATCTCACTGATCGTTGGTTATTGAATCTGTCAATCTACTGAACCAATTACTAGTGATAAATTGACAACTTAATCGATAAATTGACAACTGAATCGATAAATTGACAACCAAACCGATCAATCTACTAAATCACTTACCCTTGATAGATTTACATCAGTTTGTCATCTCCAACACAAAATGCCTTTTTCTAATATGTGAGTTCTACCCCTTCCTCACCTATTTCTCAATATACAGTCAGGACTGGTGAAAGCGATAGAGGACTGATATTCAGTATCAATAGCGCAGAGAGTATCGGTGTTGGGCCAAAGTTGGAAAGTAATAGATCTAGAAGGTTATCGACTTCATTACATGAATTGATTAGACAAGGTTGTGGACCACTCGGTGTGTTTTTGTTTTTCCCCGTGATTCATACTTTACATCGTTTCTCCTCAGTCTCTCTCCCCCTCCCCCCCCCCCCTCTCCTCCCCCGGGTGATGTTTGAAGCTCCTAGCACATCTACATTCCTACCGTCGCTTTTGTTCATTCAAGACATGCTCCAATCTTTCCTTTTCCAACATCTAATTCCTGCCCATATTCGGTATTACGTCTAAATATCTTCTCCTAAATCTTTTCAACCCCTCATTCTCTTCCCTCCTAACTCATACCAATAAATTCACATGTGATGTCCACCCTAACCTGATGTAACCACATATGGTGGAATGAAAAATAATGATTCTATCAAAAGTCCGAAGTCTAATTTTTCAGACACTAGAACCCGTCGTGATTCCGGAGATCTCTCATCTCGTTTCCCAGCTATTGTCCTTGACCCTCGTGCACCTTCTTCTCCTATAATCAAGAAAGAAGAGTCTCCCCTTGTCCAAATCGATCAAATTGCGAAGATCAATAACATCTCCTCGACCAACAAATTGAATCAGAATCAGAATCAAAACCAAAATCAGAATCAAAACCAACACCAGAATTTGATGAAAGTGGAATCAGATTCCATTCCTGGTCAAATTCATAAACGTCTTGAACAGAATAATCAACTCAATACAAAACCGAAATTTCATTCTCCATTATGTGATGATATCATCTCTACTCCGACTTGCCCTTTACCTCAAATCAACAAAATCGGAAAAGAGAATTGTTGTGATTCGTTGAAAAAAGAAAAAGAGAAAGATGTGATTTGTCTTTGTGTTAAGACAGGAGATGAAGTTGGACAAGATGCCATTGATGTTGATAAAGATAAAGTTGAAATCGAAATTCAAATCAACGATTCGACTGTCGTTAGTCCTATTCAGGAAGAAAAAGAACAAGAAAAAGAGGAAGGGGAAGGGAAAGGGAAAGAAGAATATCTTGAACATTTGGAAAATTTAGGTCAACAAGGTTATGAAACTTCACTTCGACAAGTCGGAAATTGATTCGACAGTGAAGATTTGTTTTTCCTTACTTTACCCTCAAGGTTTTTCTTCGAAATTGTATACGAATTTCAGATTGATCATTTAGGATTTTACACATCAAGTTCGAATAATATCAATAACACCATTTTTTTCTTTTTCTTCATCACATATATACTGAATACTCTTCCCTCACTTCTCGCTGATCAAATAGATCATATACACGTTCCATCAAATTTCCATCATAGAGACTGATAAAGAAATTACAATATTGTCATATAAATCTTTAGCGCGAAGTTGTGTAAATTGAAATTTCCTCATCATCGTCTATACTTGTGTTTCGTACCAATAACATCTATGCATATTTGTGTAAAACGACTTACCTAAGAAACATGCGTGGTACTGTACATTTCATCGTCGCTTTCTATACTTGAATGTTTCACTTCCCATACTTTTAGTCGACCTTCATCTTCACGGTATCGTAGTCAGACGAGTTCTGTGAAGAAGAACAGCGTCCATCGATAAAGTTCGTTTACGTAGCCTCATATGAGACATGGAAAGAACTTTCTGTTGTGGAGGTGAGTACGACGTACGAAGATATTCCAGAGACATATATACATGATAACAGAAAAGAGACGTGTAATGTGTAGTATGTGTGGTGATATTCGCTCTACCATCAAGCCCAAGATTCCAAACCAACATATTCCACTCCCATCTTCTTAACGACTTTCCCCATGATAACACCGGATTCACCACCTTCTTTCAAACTTTTCAAAGCTTCATCAACTTTATCTTCCCCAACAACAATGACCATCCCAATTCCACAATTAAAAGTCCTAACTAATTCAGTAGGTTGAACATTACCAACTTTCATTATCCATTTCCAAAGATTTGGTAATTCCCATGAATTTAAATGTATCTCAACACCTAATTCCGATTCTGGGGAAAATATCCTAGGTATATTTTCGGTGAAACCTCCTCCTGTTATATGTGACATACCTTTATATAAACCTTTACGTATACCTGGTAATAAAGGTTTTATGTATATTTTCGTTGGAGTGAGAAGTGCGTCTCCGATTGATATTGGTTTTTCTTCTTCTAGTCCGGAAGCGAAAGCAGAGGGAAAAGAAGAAGGGGGGTTAGAGGATGAGGGAAGAGTGGAGGATGAAGAAGATTGAGAGATTTGAAAAGTTTCGTTCCAAGGACAAGTTGAATGTAATGATAAACCTGATAAATCGATGATTTTTCTGATTAATGAAAACCCATTCGAATGAGGTCCAGAAGATCTCAATCCGATCAACACATCCCCTTCTTTTATATCCGGTTGAGGTAACAATAACTCTCTTTCCACCGCACCAACAGCGAAACCAGCTAAATCATAATCATCACCATGATACATCCCTGGCATCTCTGCGGTTTCCCCACCTATCAAAGCACAACCAGCTTGAAGACAACCTTCCGCTATTCCCGTAATGACATCTGCGGCAGTTTGAACGTCTAATTTTGCACAGCCGTAATAATCTAAGAAATATAATGGTTCGGCACCTTGAACGATGAGATCATTGACGGACATCGCTACCAAGTCTATCCCGACAGTGGTGTGTTTACCATAATTTAAAGCTAGTCGAAGTTTGGTACCTACACCATCTGTACCTGATACAAGTATCGGATCTTTGTATCCAGCTTTGGAAAGATCGAAAGATCCACCGAATCCACCGATAAGACCATCAGCACCTGGTCGACGGGTGGCTTTGACGATGGGTTTGATAGTTTCTACCAAAAGGTTCCCAGAGTCTACGGAAACTCCAGCGGAGGCGTAAGTTAAGGGAATGGAAGATTTGACGTTGGAATTGGAATTGGGAGTGGAGGATGAAGAAGATGGTGGTAAGAGTGATGGTTCGTTTGAAAGAGCTCTATAAGCTATATCTCGACGATATGTTTTGCCTTGGAAATCGACAAGATCAACACCTTGATATGCTAGTGAAACAGCTTCACGAAGTGTTGGTCCCGATGCACAAATTGCTAATACTCGACCGCCATCGGTTACGCCTGTAGAATCGGAGATGGTTGTACCAGCGTGAAAAACGTGAACGTTGGGAGGTAAGGAAGGTTGGATGGTGATTGGAAGTCCTTTGATATATTTTCCTGGATAACCTTGAGAGGCGAGAACGACAGAGACTGAATAACCTGGACGATAATTTAATTTGACAGAATCTAATCTTCGTTCAACACATGCCTAAAACGATCAGCTCAATTAAAGCTTGTTTCGAGATTGCTGACCATCATGATATCTGCTAAATCCGTTTCGTCGTCCAGAAGCAACATGAGCGCTTGTGTTTCTGGATCGCCAAATCGGACGTTGTATTCTAAGACTTTCGGCCCGTCCGGAGTGAGCATGAAGCCGGTGAACAGCATACCCACGAATGGGTGGCCTGATAGCGTCAGTTATCATTCACAGCGACGGAAGAACATACAGCTTTAAACAAAATCAAGTGAGGTTTTTGGTGCCTCAGAAAAGGGGAAAGACCGAGGGGGAGAGAGGAAAGACACTCACCATCCGCACGCATTCCCCTCACAGTAGGTTCCAGAGCTTCCTTCACACATCTCGACATGATCTCCGGTGTGGCGACTGGAGCCGGGGCGTATGCACCCATTCCACCTGTATTGGGTCCAGTATCACCCTCCCCTATCCGTTTATGATCCTGAGCCGCGGGCATAGGGATGATAGTGTAACCATCACTAAATGCCAACACGCTGATCTCTGGTCCTGTCAAATATTCCTCGATCACAACTTCATCTCCTGCATCTCCAAATTCTTTATCTACCATGACACTCTTCAACGCTGTCAAAGCTTCTTCTGTGGTGGTTGGGATCAGGACACCCTTTCCAGCCGCAAGACCTGATGCTTTGATCACGCAACGGCCGGAAGGGAAGGGATTTGACTTGATAAATGCTGAAGCTTCTGAAAATTGGGATGAAATGAAAGAACGGAAAGAAGCTGTGGGAATGGAATGACGAGCCATAAAGGATTTGGAGAGTGCTTTCGAACCTTCCAAGAGTGCCGCAGCGGGTGAAGGACCGAACACGGGGATTCCGACTGATTCGATCAGCTATGTCTATGACAACAGTATGTCAAGCGAGATACGGCTGATGGAAGGAAGAGAAAGAGAAAGAGAAAGAAGACTCACCTTTACGAAAAGCAAGTTCTACTCCATCGACCAAAGGTTGTTCGGGACCAGGAACGACCAGACCGATACCATTCTCCTCTGCCCAAGATACCACACTTTTGAAAGCATCTTCAGGACCCCAGGGTAGAGCCAAGTTGACTACTTTTCCACCCATCAGAGCTGTTCCTCCGTTACCTGGACAGACGTAGACACGAGTGACCCGAGAGGATTGGGCTAGTTTAAAAGCAAGAGCGTGTTCCCTTCCTCCTGCACCTAATATCAACACCGACAACGGTGAGTTGACGGAAGGGAAAGTGGTGATGTCTGACATTGTCGTCGATGTTCAAAGTGTATAAAGGCTGTTGGATTCTTATTGCTTTTAGAAATTCTTTGCAGACGCGAATGGTAATCACGTGCCTCAGGATGACAAAATGCCACGTCAATTTTGGTCATTCGGCGGTTTCGGGATTTTGTTCCGAGGCGACGTCTGCGAATGAGCCGTCTCCGTTTCGTCGTTGAACATTCCTCCTCTCACTCCACCTTCAGGAAAAAAACAAAACAGGACCAACAAAGTTCCCCTTGTACTCCCTAACATCTGATATAGACGACCATCATGCCTTACCGTCCTAATCCATTCTTCACAACTACCAACACTTTCTTCGTCCCTTCCGTAGGGGACAAAGTTGATAACGCTATCGCTCAATCTAAGGGAGCGGTCAATGACTTGAAATCAAAATCTTCAGAACTGGCCGGAAAGGCGGATTTGAAATATCAAGATGCTAAAGAAGCTGTCAAGGTAGCCGTCTCACCCGCTGCTCCTACCGGTGTCGATCTCTATGCTCGGTGAGTAGTCTTTACGCACGTGTTTGGACAAAAGAAAGAAGGAAAGGATGGCTGGGTTGACGATGATAGTTTCGCTCTTGCTGGTGCTCTGGGTTGCGCCGTCACTCACGGTGCTTTGACTCCGGTTGATGTGGTCAAGACTCGTATCCAACTTGAGCCGGAGGTGTACAACAAGGTGAGATCATGATACCATATTTTTCGGTGGTTGGAGATAAAAGGAATCGGAATGCTGATAGCATAGGGAATGATCGGTGGTTTCCGTCAGATCATCGCTAAAGAAGGTGTCGGTGCTCTTGCAACTGGTTTCGGTCCTACTGCAGTCGGATATGCTATCCAGGGTGCATTCAAATTCGGAGGGTACGTTTTTACCCGTTTCCAATCCCTCTCATTTACAAAACCTGGTGTTTTTGTAGATAATCAACGGATGCAATTAGCACCACAACTCGAAGATACGGGCGGTGGAATGAATAAGGAACAATGACTGATGGACAGATACGAGTTCTGGAAAAAAGTCGCCATTGACTCACTCGGTATCGATGTCGCTCGTGAGAACCGTCAAGCCATCTATCTCGGAGCATCGGCCATTGCGGAATTCTTCGCCGATATCGCTCTCTGCCCACTTGAAGCTACCCGTATCCGTCTCGTCTCCCAACCTTCTTTCGCCACTGGTCTCGCCTCTGGTTTCCTGAGGATCTTGCGGGAAGAAGGTCCCGCGGCCTTCTATGCTGGGTGAGTGGTTTTCATTGACTGACGAAGACAAAGTTGACGGAATAGATTCGGGCCGATTTTATTCAAACAGGTCCCATACACCATGGCCAAGTTCGCCGTGTAAGTTACCCGTTCTCTCCCTTCCCGTTTGCTGGCGGAATGGTACTGTATCACCTGCCCCTTTGTCACCTAGGTCTCATGACACTTCTACATATTGCACCGACACCTCTACAATCATTCAATTACTTCTTATGTCCCTTGCGGGGTCGTGAATGATACTCGTGGCCTCACCCATATCTCCCGTGCCTTTGGTGTCCTGCTACCAGATATTATAAGAGTGCATACACGAAGTCCTACGAGTGGTGCTGATATACAGCTACGAAATCGCCGTTGAGAAGATTCTTCAAACCGTTGGCAAGTCCAAAGATTCCCTCACTGGTGGTCAAACTATTGGACTTAACCTCACTGCCGGTCTCATCGCTGGTATGGCCGCCGCCGTCATCTCCCAACCCGCCGACACTCTCTTGTCCAAGATTAATAAGAGCAAAGGTCTCCCCGGTCAAAGTACTACGGGCCGTTTGATCGACATGGCTCGCACGCTCGGTGTCTCCGGTTTGTTCACCGGTATGGGCACGAGGCTGGTCATGATTGGTACACTTACTGCTGGGCAGTGTGAGTTAAAACTTCGTTTTCCTGTTCTCCTTTGCTCTTGATTTTCCAACCCCACCCTCTTCCCACAGTCTTTCCTCATGCCCGCACTCTATCATTGGAAGATGCCCAATCTCGTCTGGCTACCCTCGTGCATCTAACCCAACCATCCGCCTGTCCCTTGCTCTTCCCAAGCCCCATTCTTTGATCCGAACAGAATCTCCCTGTGGCTCCGGAAAGTGCCCCCTTTATCTATGAGCATATCAAGGGGCTACTGATTCTCCTACCAGGTCGTCGCTGACTACTGTAGTCTTTATCTATGGAGATATCAAGAAACTTCTGGGCGCCAAAGGCGGTATAGAAATTTCTGCTGTCCCTAAGTGACCAATCGGTCGACGGACAACGTTAGGAGGATGATATGCATGATTTCTAGAGCGTAGGGAGAAGGAGGTGCGATTCTTGCTGGAATCCGATGCTTCCGGAACAAAAGGGTGATTGCAAGCCTATTTATTGACGCGGCAACTCGGCGCGCCTAACTGTTGCAATTCGGGCTGAGGACCCCGCCTTTCGCAATTGCAGATAAAGTGTTCAGACCAAATGAATCGGATATCATCAAACAACACTGTATTGTGTACTGAAGTTTCACCTGGAGACCTCTACGTTGTTCTACCTGCTTGACCACTTTGCACGTTCGATCGACATCCATCTTTGCTTGTCTTTTGCCCCCCCCCCCCCTCCCATTCTTTGCCTACCTACAATTCACACCTGAAGATCCACACCGAACAACCACAGTCCATCCAGTTCGTTTTCTTTTTCAATCGACTACATACCACCATCCGTCGTAAACCATACGATGAACATCAGATTCCTTTCCAATGGTACGACCCTCCTCTCAAATCGTCCGACGAAGCATCAAGAAGATTAAGGTTGAGATATCGGGCAATCAATGTTTCGGTAAAGGTGGAGCACCTTCAAAAGAAAATTCAAACCCTCCTAGACCAGATTCGCTAACAGTACTATTTCTTCCCTTTATATCCCCTTCATTTTCCGTTCGTTCCACTCCATCTTCCTTTCCTTTTCCAGAAAGATATGATTGTTTCCTCCCATGTAACCCCGTCACGCCCGTATCGGGTACTGCGGCACTTGGTATAGCTGCAGAAGGAAGACCTGCTAAATCGTCCATGTTAGGAGGAACGAAAGGGAAAGAACCTAAGAAACTATCAGCTTCACTTGCTGCTGTATTTGGTCTACTAGGTTTAACACCTGTTCGATTCCCAGGTCTTGTACCTCCTGAAACATATCCATTCTGTCTTGCGGAATTCGAATTGAGGACCGGTGGTCTGAATGCTGGTGGAGGTCTTGAAATAGAGACATTTTCTAAAGTTGATGATGACATTGATTGTGGTAATCCACCTGGTAATGGAGGTCTTTCTCCTCCTGGTGGAATCATGGGGAATGCTCCAAGGAGAGAATCGGCATATGATTTTGCAGATAACATACTTTCTCTTGGACCTTGATTAACTTCTGCCGGTCGAGGTGGAGGTATAGCGGCGAGAGCATTTGGATTCGCTAAATATCTGAAAGTCTCTAATGACGAAGTGGATTCTCTTGATATATCTCTAGCTAGAGATCCCATTGAAAAACGTAAATCTCCTGTGCTTGCTGATGGTGGAGGTTCTAATTCCATCTCAGTGGAGTGATTCGATTCGTGGGGAGAAAGATCTTTACGAGTCGGAGTGAGTCGACGTGAAGTAGAAGAGGAATATGGGAATTCACCAAAGGTGGGTGTAGAAACTCCATTACCGAAAGTCGAAGAATTCGCCGTCGTCTGACCATCGAAAGGATCATCCACACTACCACTAACAGGTGATAATCTTTGTTTCCCTAAAACCTCCATGAGTTGTTGAGATTTATTAACATTGTTGAAATGTACAACTTCGGCTTGACGTAAATTACCAATGTTGACTTTACGAGAAGTGACAATCCTAGGAGCTTCATGATGAATATCTGTGGTACCAGAGAGGAAACTCGAACCGGAATGTCCGGATAAGAAACTTTCGCGTTGACTGGCATATGGGATGGAAGGTGAAGAAGAGTCAGTCGTACTTCCTTCTGGGGATTTTTCCGGGATCAGACGGAGATCAAGATCGGGATCTCGAGCTGGTCGTCGAGGTGCTCCAGCATGGAGATTTTGACGAGCTTCTTGTAGAGTACGAGTGGCTGCGGAGTTTGATCGAGCGAGTTGTTTACTCTCCCCATCAGACTTGCTGGGGATGTATTGGATGGGGATGATGTGCATACTTTGTTGACTGCTCGATGTGGTGGTATATGTGTTGACGCTTTGTCGGTCGGAGAAAGGGTCACTGCGAAGGTCGATGACGCCTCGTGTGCCACCGTATACGCGGACTAGAGCACCGTTCTCGTCGTAGTATTCAGCATTGACAGGAGCGGGAGGAAGGGGAGAACGTTGTTTGAAACTTGCCATGGCAGCTGCTGAGTGAGGAGGAATAGGTAGATGGTCTTGATGTGAGCCGGATCTTGTGGAGGGAGGTTGTGGAGAGGAGGGTTGGGACAGATGGAAGCCGGCAGACTCGGCTTTGCGAGCGCGTTGAGCTAGGTTTTCTAGTCGAGCCAGATCGCGTCTCTAAGCAATCAGCAAATATCGCGTAGTACCCGGCGAGCAACATAGGGAGACGTAACAAGAGCGAGAAGTGAAGACAGGAAAGCAGGTGACCGCGACTGACCTTCTTGCGCCGAAGCCACCAAAATAATCCAAGAGAAGCGATGAGCAAAACAGCTACGACGGGACCAGCGATGACACCTGGGTTGACTCCACCGCCGGAAGACGACGAACCTCCAGCAAGACATTGAACAGTAGGACATTGGTTACAGGTTCTATGGGTCAGCTAAAGTCTATCCTCCCGCCTACACTTGACCCCATATTCAGCATCCTTGGTGTCGGGTACGAGTCATTTCAAAAGGGCATCACTGGTCGCTTGGCATCTTGACGGGACAACAACAGGATAGAGAGTAGGTGATAGGAACCTTGGTCAGACATGACAGAGGAGAAATGGCAACAGGAGAGAAACAAGAGTTGACTAACCTTCCAACCAACTGACATCTCTGACCAGCTTCGCAATTACACGTAGGTGCAGGTCCATCACAAGAAATACAATTTGAGCTTTGACGTGGGAACAAAGCCCTGTGAAAAGGTGAGGGTGGGTGATTCATCTTGAGCCAGCAAGATGATTGTTTGCGGATGTTTAAATTCGGATGAATCGATTTGAATTGCTATGAAGCACAGAGTTCTTTTCTCTATCTCTCTGAAGGAAAATGGGTCGTACACGTCGCCTGATGAGGTGAATCCCTTAGGCGAATAGAGGTAAGATTTGTTTGTATCAGAGAAAGAATGAATATCTATTTGATCGTTCAAACGAGCGAATTCCTGGTGGTAAAGATATTTTCTTGTGACTAGGCTTATAGATTTGTCGAAAGAAAGATTGTTGACCACTTGATATAAGTTCGGGTATTTGGAAAAGGTCGATCACCAATTGAATTAAGAAATGAATGTTTCTCCCAAAACCGTCTTCTTTTCCAATTTATTCAATCCAATCGAAAGTTATCAATGACGAAGTAAGTGTTTGTTGTCTGGCGTGCACGTCTGACGATTGACCGAAAGAAAGATTGAGTGGGAAAATGACGATGGTCATGCGAATTAGAAAAAGATTGATCTTGGTAAATGAAAGTATGTATCGAGTATCTGGTCGTATAGTCGTGATGTTTTCACCACAGTGAATGCGTCCAATGTCGAGTGTTGGACTGTCCAGGATGGGAAGGAAAAGGGGGGGATGAGGATTTGTGACGCGTTTCCGATTTGTTAGTAAAAGGGAAGAGCCAAGTTGATCGTGTAAATGTCTCGAATATGGAGTGGGGAGGTGAATGTGAAAATGTGAGATGTGAGATGTGAGATGTGAGGAGTAGGAGAGAAATAGTGAAAGGATAACACCAAAGTCCTTTATTCCTCTCTCTCTCTCTCTTTTCAACTCCTTTCCTTTCCTCTTTCACTTATTTTCTCTCTTAAACTACTCCTTTCCTACCCTTCACTAATTCCCAGGATTCAAGTGTACGTAATTCTGTGGTGGTGGTAGTAGTACGTATAGAGATTGTCCAGAGGTAGAGAGAGAGAGGGATCGATCGAATCAAGATATAAACGGTAGTAATGTAATGAATTGAAGAGAAGGGATGAAATCATGAAACGTCGATACGTCGGTCTCAGTCTCGGGGCTAGGCTGGAAGGGGTCTGAGCGTATGAAAAATGATCCGAGCGTATGGAAGCCACTTAGCCACCTGATCAAAGTCCGGCTTTAGATCGAAGAGACTGACTTTGGGTTTGGGTTTGGGTTTCGTACCGATTTGGAAGACTGGAACAAGATACGAGACACGAGTACACGAGTACACAAGAGAGAGGGGAAGTAAGGAGGGTTAGAAGAGATGGTTGAAACTTGAATCAATTATTGATGATAGATCATAGACCATCGGTTAGGATTTTTCCCAATTCAGGGCGAAGAAAAATCATCCTCGTCGCGTGAGCTCGTCCCCCCTTTCCCCCTTGCTATAAATCGCTCGATTCCCTCCACAAATCCACAAAGCTCTGGGATCTGGGATCTGGGAATGCATACGCGTACAAATACGTCAACCTCCGTCGTCATACTTCCATACAGTAGTCTCCACAATCATAGGATGAGGACCTCTATTCGGGAAAATGAGACATTTGAAGGAGAGGTACGACATATAATCTGTGACCCCTCTCTCGTTTGAAGCTAGAACAGTCCGGCCAAGGATCCCAAAGAGCTAAAGAGGCTAAGGAGCAGATCATCTTGTCCAGACTTTCAATCTCCCAAGATTCAGGTCCACGAGTCTAGACTATCATCACGATCCGACACTAGTAGTTCCTTCTGACCCACATGTGACGTACCTTGACCCCAGAGGACAGAGGAATGCGGCAATTTCTCTAGGCCTCTTTTTGGGGTGATACTAATACGATATGCACATATGATACGAGCATACTCGCATCAGAAGTTATTCAAAATGTGCAAGTGATCCACGATATCCACGATGAATATGTTTCGACATTCGTTGCATCAAAGTTGATTTGTATATGACAAGCTTCTCAATCTTCCTTGCTTTCCTTCACCATCACTTCCTGATAATTTATCACTTTGATGTCAGCTACATCGTTCACTCTCCACTGACAGGTTTCACAATGAATAGGGAAAAAGAAAATGCTCACAGTGATGACAGTAGGTTTTTCCCTTCCTGTAAACCCGTTCAACTTGCTAACCTCCAAAGCGACGCTGATCAAAGGTTTCAAACCATCCTGAGCATCTTTACCATACTCATTCTCATCTTTACTATATTTCTCAACGTACAACCTCACAGTAGCTCCACTGGAACCAGTACCGGAAAGACGGAAAATGATCCTACTTCCATCTACGAACTTGATGTATAATCCTTGTTTCGACGAAACTGATCCGTCGATTGGGTCTTTGTAAGAGAAATCATCGGCGAGAGCCACTTTGAAACCTCCTAGGGAAGTACCGACGAAGGAAGAGGAGGAAAAGGTGGTACGGAGATGTTCCATCATTTTATTGGCACCGTCTGAATCAACTTCTTCGTAGTCGTATCTTCCCGTTAGCTGGACATCCCACGGACTGACGCTCTCATCACACAGGATGCAAATGTTGACGGAGTGAAGACGAAGGCGGGATCATAGGAGGGGAATGTGTTACGAGTATCAAGCTGGAAAGTGACCGAAGAAGAAGTGAGGTATGTGATGCGGTTGATGAGGAAGAAGAGGAAGAAGAGAAGATTTTGACCAAGACTCACCGAGAGAAGAAAGACCTTCCATATTTCTTCCAATGCATCATCATGACATCATGAATCCCCGCACCGGGTTGTTCCTTGTTAGCAGCAGCTACAACAGACAACCAAGCTGGTACGTCAATACTTAAACCAATCTGAAGTTCTTGACTCACCGACAATGGCCCAAACACCATCTTTCTCTCTTATATGGTCGGAACCAGTCCCGAAAGACTCTTCACCGCAGATTGAAAGTCTTCCAGCATCCATAAGGTTTCCAAAGAATTTCCCTACAAGTCAGCCTAAGCTTTGTCTCTGTATCCCCATATTCGCATGACTACCAGTCACGTACACCCCGTCAAATTCACATTCTGAAAGATGATACTTTGACTGAGATGAGAGTGGAAAGAAACTTCACTTACATCCCGTTGGCACTTCGAAACATTCGAGACCCTTCTCTTTAGCTACCAGATCGATCGCTCCACTAGTTGGCATACTCCTTGCCAACCCTTTGACTCCTCCCTTGAAATAAGGAATGGCCTTTTCCGCCCAATCGGCAATAATGGCCACACTGTCACTGGGAGTGACGAATGCTCCTTTACCGTAAATCATGTTTCTATCCCCATCACCATCACTAGCAGCACCAAATTCGATATTCTCTTTCTCAACCCTCTCCACTAATTCATGTGCGTAAGTCAAGTTGGGATCAGGATGTCCACCTCCAAAGTCCGGTTTGGGGATACAGTTCTGGATAGACGATTCGGACAAACCGAGTTCTTCGACGAAGATTGCACGACCATAAGGTCCAGTCACACCGTTCATTGCGTCGAATAGAACAGTAGGTTTTGGCGAAGTGTTATGAAGCCAATTTTTGATCATGTCAAAGTCGAAGATGGACTTGAGGAGGGTGATGTAGTTGGAGACTGGATCGACGACTGTGATTTTGAGTGGGCCGTGGGTGAATTCACCAGTTTTGGAGAAGTCGAACTGGAATCAGTACCAAAACAAACACTTACTCTATTTCAGATAAGCGTTATGCAGTTACTCACATCAGGTAATTCCACCAATTTGTATTCCTTGATCTCCTCTGTGACTGCGTAGATCTTGTTCGTGACCTCTTCCGGTGCAGGACCTCCATTGGAAATGTTAAACTTGATCCCAAAGTCATTCTCTGGACCACCGGGATTGTGGGAGGCAGTGAGCAAGATACCTCCGTCCGTCTTGAGAGAACGGATCAAAGCAGAGACGGCCGGAGTGGAAAGAATGGCATCTTGTCCCAGGACGACGTGGGCGATACCGTTCGCAGCTGCGATACGGAGGATGATTTGGACTGCTTCTGGGGACTAATGATTAGCCTAGCTCGTCCTGAACGTCCACCTGTCCTTAGGTGAAGCGATAAGCCCATGTCTGCGGCATTCCAGTCTAGCCTCACCAGATGCGCTTCACCCGAAAGAGCAGGCTCATAAACGGCATCAGCCATGAGGGAGTACTATAATATGGGCTTTGGTAACGATGTGTGGATGTGTGAGTCATCGAATGAAATAAGATGACTTGAGTGGTCGTTTGTCGTGATGGCAAGACAACGGTAGGGCGGTAAGGTGGTTAGAGAGAGAGGATCTCACATAATAACGTCCATCACCTCCCAATACAATAGTCTTTCCTTCACTTCCACCTGGCATGGCAGTAAAGATAGCTTGAACAAAATTCTCAGTATAATGTTCTTGTTGGAACACTTTTACTTTCTTCCTCAAACCAGAAGTACCAGGTTTCTGACCCGAGTAAGGTTTAGTAGGGACCGTGATAACTTTGGTCGACCTGGATGTGAGTTTTGATCCTTCGTCCGATCCGTTCCACATATCCCCCTCATCACCTTTCTTATAGCTGTTCTCCGTAGAGTAGATAATCATGCCAGTTATTGTTATGGCGATGGAGGAGCACGTTCCTTCATGGGATATTTTGAGCTTCATTCCATCTCCTTGCTTTGTTCAGACGATGGAACCACTTACATGATGATTGATGTGTCGAGATGATAAGTTTGTGTTGGAGAGTAAGAAGATGAAGATTCAAGTGCAAACGTGTGAGAGAATGTAAAGTGGAGATTTGAACGTTGTAGGGTTGAAGAGGATAGATGGTTCGTGTGTTCGTCGGTTCTGGGGCATGGAGCAAACGTCATCATGAGGGGGGTCAATGGTCCGCCACGTGGCAGTGGCAGTGTACGGTAGAAGATGCATGAGACAAAACTGTGGCCACTACATAATCACATAATCACGATGCTATACGCACAACATGGACATTCTTCGTCACGATCTCTCTCTCTCTCTCTTCACAATGTGTATACGGGCAAAATCCCAAAAGTGACCCAAGAGATTTCTCAACAATTGCCCAAACGTATGAGGAGCATGTTGGAGGAATGAAAGTTGTATTCTGTCCATCAGCCAGTGACCTTCTCTCCTTCTTGACCAACGACCTCGACCTCTAGAAGATTGTCTGGACATGATGCAGGAAGGGAGAGTGGACGACAAGATGATCAGAGGGTATTCAATGACACTCACTGTTCTTCAGTCGTTCCACCGATTCCGGATCATTATGTAGTCCATCGAAATATGTCAAACCAAGCTGTATCTTCAGCTGCAACTTCATATCAAGAATCGAAATGAGAACTCACCAAAGCATCCGATTTTCTATAGCCTTCCATGAGATCAAAGAAGCCCATACGACGTTTCTCAAAACTCGATCATCAGCACCGCCGCACATATGGACAGCCTCAGAACATACTATTGTTGCTCCACTAATGGATCAGTGAGTTACACGTCAAGAGGTGAGGAATGACTCACTTATTCGAACTGCCCTCGGATGCATTTCACCCAGTTCGTCAACATATACTTTGTTGTCAGCTTTATTAATGATCAAAAACCTATAGCTTACGGGGTGATGCGAAGAAATCATAGCTGGGGTGGTCAGCAATCACACGGTTTCACCTGGGGCGAAACTCACATCGCGAATAAAACGTCTTCACTGGGTAGTTAGCGATCGATACTTAGTGTGTTGGCAATAGCTAGGGGTGACACGAAGTTTCGGAGTCTTCTCAGGCAAAAGGAGTGGTGATGGGATACGGAAGGGACGTACCATGTTATACCCATCCGATTCCTTACTCTTACCGACCAACCGGTTTCGACATGACCTAAATTCAATTCCTCGACGATTGGACTTGTAGCTGGTTGACCACGTTCTTTGATCCCTATTCTTAGTTTCATCCTTGAACAAGCAAACTCAAAACGTACATTCCTACTTGTTAGCTTCTGAATTCCAAGTGGTAAGCGGAACCTACTGTTTCCGTATCATCGAAATCAACCCAGATAGCAGCGAACATTGGATGCTACCATATCAGTCCTCCCCTGTCTGTCCAAAAGTGTCCATGACCACTCACTTCGATGACATTCCAAGCCAAATACTTTCCATAAGGTTTAGGATCCCATGTCCTCATATTGAGTAAAGGATGTATTTTCAGAGGTAGTTGTAATTGAGTCGCTTGGAGGTACGATATCACCGGGCCATATCCTGGGCGTCTGTACTCTCAGCGATCGTTCTGACATCGGAAGGAATTGGATCCTGTGGACTCACGATGGTTTGAAAGGTCCGATAGTGATGGCTTTCCAATCAGCGAATATTATTCAATATGAGTGACCGATAATGACTCACCGGCATCACGCGGAGCGCCAGAAGGGATTAATGCCATTTTGTTTGTGGAGGATAGATGTTCGGAGTACTGAGGGAAAATGTATGTTGTAGGATGAGATACTTGAAGTGAGTCTTATGAGTGAGACAAGTAAGTTGTTGAGGAGATCAGTATTTAACGGAGTGTTTGTAAAGGTGGCAAAGGTAGACGGTCAGTCAACTTCCTTGTGGGCGTTGCAGCTCAAAGGAAGGACAGCCCACCGTTTTTGGCAGTTGGTAGGGATTCACGAAGGTACTTGTCACTTGTAGAACTCTCTAGTAAGTACTGTGTCGTGGCTTTCGTATCTAGTCGAGATCACTTTGAACGGACTGTCGAGATGGGATGAAGAGAAGGTGATGATGGTTTGTTGGAAGCAGCTTCACTCAGTCTCGGTCTCGGCTCGGTCATCCGATGATTCCGGTGCTGCTCTCTCTCTTGTCTCCATCCCCATTGTCCCTTCCACCCTTCCTACATACATTAGACTACTCCCAAATTCACATTACCCCAGATAGGTGACATACTCACCATCATCATCACCATCTCATCATCATGGAAGTTTATTTCCCCCCTTCTGCATCTTATCTCCCTCGCGCTCCTCCTCCCCGTCCTGTAGTACCCGCAGTCCCCATCGTCCCCATTCCCGACCTTCCCGAAGTTCTTCATGCTCCAGAAGGAACTTACACACTCAATAACAATCTCTTCTGTCCAGCCGGTATAACTCCTAGTCAGATGCAGGATAAATCAGGACAAGGTAGTTTCATAGTCAGTCTCATAGCTCCACCACCTATGGCACCTCAAAATTCAGGACCTCCCATTGGACAATCTGCCATTTCTTTCGGCTCTACAATTGTAAATGGTCAAAATCATCCAGCTTATCCGGTGCGAATGTCATGGATCAGTGTCTACTTCCCGCCTAAAGCTGGTGATCGTGGTTTGGGGGGTTTGTTCGGAGGAGGTAAAGATAATAAAGAACAAGAGAAAGAGATCGTTCCAGTTGGTTATGAAGCTTCAGAAGGATCAGGTTCAACGGATCCTTCTTCTGATATTCCAAATCCAAGACCGATGGATATACCTGTTTCTGCCATTCCACCGAAACATAGAGCGCAGTGGTTAAAATCTGCTTCATTGAGTGCTTTACCCAGACCGAAGAATAATCTAAGATCAAGTAGCTCGACTTTTGTTACGAGATTACAAACGTTGGAGACTATGCCGAAGATTACTGCGGAACGTGGGAAGGGTGGTGGGGAAACTGTCAGATGGGGTTTTTGGAATCTTGGTAGGACTTTTGGGTGGGGTGAAGAGGGTGGAAAGATTCGAGTGAGTCCAGCTACTGTTACGTGAATCTTACTCTCTCATCACTCTCTCCTCCTTTTGAATTCAATATCGGAGGGAAAGCCTGAATGGTATATGCATTGTAGTTCTGACTGACTTTGTAGGAAGCTTTGGCTAGAGTCACTTTCTCTCAAATACCTACTTGTCATGCCGTCTCTCATCTCACGGCCAGTCCGGACAGATTAGACATTATTGTCGGTTTCGCTTCTGGGGATATCGTCTGGTTGGATTTCATATTGGGTCGATACACTCGAATTAACAAAGCGGTTGGTCTCCTCCTTTTCTTCCTCGATTTCCATTCTACCCCCCTAGTGCTGACTAGAACCCTCAACATTCCCTAGTGTGCCCCACATCATTCGTCTAGAGAGTGAATCCACATGATATACGATTTCTCCTTACTGACCCTATAGGGCCTTTTGAACAGTACCGCCGTCATATCAGTTCAATTCGACCCTCGTCAAGCACAACACTTCATCGCTGTCTTCTCAGATGGTATCATCATGCAATTCAATCTTTTCGCGGAAGATCCAATGTCAATGGCAACCTCTTCTTCCACTCCCTGGACCAACTTCTTCGCCTCACAAGCTGCCCAAGAGCAATCACCCGGTGATGGAGAAGGGTTCAGAGATCAGATGTTAATTTGGAAGAATGAAGATTTTTCTGTGCAACCTGAGAAAGGTAAAGAGAGAAGTATGTGGGCGGGAAAGAATCCAACCGCCGTTTGGAAAGTTGGAAAGAAACAAATTACAGGTGAGTCGAGAGTGATCGTGAGACTGTTCAATTTGCACGATCAGCCAATTGAAAGTAAGCCCTGGTCGATGAAGGTCACAAGCTGACGTTCTTCAGCGTATGCGTATTCACCAGATGGGAGATGGTTAGCATTGACGAGTGACGATGGTATGATGAGATTAGTAGATGCTACTGAAGAAACATTGACGGATACCTTTGCTGGTTATTTCAGTGCTTTGACTTGTGTACGTTGGCTTTCTACTCAACTTTCCTCTTTCTCCCCTTCCTCACTATTCCATGACCTAGTCCAGCTATATCCAAACCGTGTCATTACCTCCCCTCCAACCTTTTGATATTCCCATCTTTCTTTACGCTTTCTCTCCGAAACAAATGAAATAACAGAGTTTCAAAAAAAGTGCCAGTCTAATTTGTAGGTCGCTTGGTCACCAGATTCACGTTTCGTAGCCGTAGGCGGTCAAGATGATCTAATAACCATTTTCTCTCCGAGAGAAACTCGTATAGTCGCAAGATGTCAAGGTCATTCAGCTTTCGTCACTAGTATAACGTTCGATTCATCTTCCAAAGAAGGACGTGGATATCGGTTTGCTTCCGTGGGAGAAGATGGGAAATTATGTTTATGGGATTTTTCAGCTGCTTCACTTCATAGACCAAGACATCATCATACCAATACTTCACATCATAAAATACCACCTGGATCAGTTTTATCTTTGGCCGCACAAACTCAGAGTAAAAGTCAATTACCTATTGAACAAGGAACTTCGGGGAGGTATCATGCTGTTGTACCTAAGAATGAAGTAGCAATGTTACAACCTGTCATGGTGGGTCCAATTGTCTCATCTTATTCTTTTCTCTCTCAACTTATCGTCTTCCTCTTCCCGCCATTCATGATTATTCAACATTTCATCCGCCGATCGTCACCGCTTGTCACATTACCTACACATCTTCCCCACTTCCCCCGGACTATTTCTTCTTCGTAGTATGGAGATTGAGAACTATACTCTCATAGTACCTGATGAAATCTCGAGTGATGGGCAAGTTTGCGAGGTCTACGGACGTGCGAGTGCTAATAATTAGGCACGTATGATAGAAGGTAACATCATCACCGGTGTTTATCTTTCACCTTCCGCCATAATCACAGTTTCACGAGCAGCAGGAATCAAATTCTGGCAAAGACCCACTAAACCACATACATCCAATAAACAACTTCAGGTCTTATCCCCAAATCCGAATGGTTCTTTAGGTCGGGAGAATCGAGAGGCGAGGGAAGTTAGTAAAATGTTGAGAGAGAAAGAAGGTGTATTGGCGTGAAGAAAAAATATCACTTTTTTTCCGGTATAGAATGATAAAACATCAATATCGTAGAGGAAAGTGGTATAGTTGAAGTCAAATAAAATGGGTCGTTGGACGACTCGAGATGGAGATCTTGGAGGGTAAAAAGAGATCTTGCGTTAGGAATTTTGTACTGTACAATCTGGAAAAAAGTGATGTTATGTCAATTAAAATTCGGTCTTACTTCTGCATCCACCGTACCACTATGACACCTATCGAATTCATTCGTTTCTCTATGGTGTTCTACAATCATACAATTCTAACTAGCTCGGAGTCGTAGTTTGACTGACCCAGATATCTTATGGTGGGACGAATTAGAATTTGGTAAAGTTGAATGGAGGTTGATCGAGTGTTTTACCATCCACTTTGATTTGTTGAGTAGGAAGACATATTCCTACGAAACCTATTCTCAGCATTACGTTCTTTCATCTATTGATTCCCGTGATCCATCTAACCCATTCGGGTCTGTAGGATCGCCAGTCCACTCTTTCTTCTATTAATTCCTGCGTTCACACTGACCTGTTCGGAAATGAAGGCTTGCCAGTCCCCTCTTTCTTCTATCAATTCCTGCGTTCACACCTGCCCATTCGGACTTGAAGGCTTGCCAGTCCTCTCTTTCTTCTATCAATTCCTGCCTTCAATCTAGCCCATTTGGAAATGAAGGCATGCCAGTGATGAATGGAATTAGATGAAGCTATTTCTCTTTGGAGAATGATGTAGTGAGGTGGAGCAGATCGGGAAGTGATAGGGTGAGAGGGAGCAAACTTGATAACAATGGGATGAAATGAAATCCAACATAGTGGAATGGAACAAATGTCAGAAGCAGGTGTGGGAGGAAAACAATAACTTACGAGCCATTTGATCAGTAGGGTTTATCCATTGATGTACAGCAGCGATTTGTACGAATAAATCACCTGTGTTTAGAAAAATTTCTCGGCCATCATGAAGTTTTAATCGAAGAGTTCCTATGGTGATGATTATCAAGTCGAGTGTAGGTGTGAAATGTTCCGGTGAAGGGGTGTTTGGTGGAAAGTCTGAATCATGAGCATTGGTAATTCCTTTCTTGTCTTCTTTTCACGGTGAAACTGGAGAACTCTCGACCAGTAAGATACAGATAACAACGTTTGGACTGGTATGAGAGACATGGGAATCGAATTGGCAAAGTATATGTAGAAAGGTATGTCAAAGTGTTGATAGGAACATCAGATTGATGAGATTTCAAAAAGCTATGTTGATTGGTGAGTTGATAGATAAACGGGTTGGAACAAAATGGAAGAGAATACAGACTTTGAACGGGGAAGGAAGAGATAACTTACCTATCCAAAGTACTTGAGCAGGAGCACCATATAATCCAGGAGGAGGTAAATCCCTTTCTTTGAATAATTTCAAAGGATCGGGATTGTATTCAGGTAAATGAAACGCTTGACCGGTATACCAACCTCCTTGTTGTTTCACAGCCGGAAGTGATTCATCAGAAAAGGTTTGAGAACCGTCGGGAGTATGACCTAAGACTACTCTTCGGATAGTGTGTGACATACTGGTATGAGACTCTGACTAGCGTTACAATACTTAGAGAAGAGCTCACCTGAGTAAACTTATGTGAGATAGATGAATTGAGAGCTGAGATGAGTAGAGAGTTTGGATAACGTTAGTGAGAGGTTAGGGTTGTATCGCTTTATATGCCTTTTTTGTGGTTGGTGGTGGAAAAGTCAGTCTGAAAGTCGGACACCGAGGAGAGGTTAGGTTAGTCACCTCGGACTTCGGCTAAGGAAAGATTCGGCAGGAAAGTTGCCGATTACCTCACCTCCTCTCACCCGTTCTCTATTCTTGTACCACGTCTACTGGCCCTACTGGCTATTGGATAACCACAGTATACGTGTTTGATCCATGCCAGTCATCGTGGCGGCCGGCATCAAACATCAACGGCATCCTGTGATCCATCCACGATTTTGATACTTTTCAAAGAAAATTTCATCTCCAACACCGAAAACAACGGAAAACCGGAGTTCAATTTTCTGCGCAAACCATCAAAACCCTCCTTCGTTGACATTTTCGATTTGACCGGAAAGGTATGCCGTTTGAAGATGGAAGATGGTCGTGCTGCATGCTGCAGAACAACCGAGGACCGAGGAACAGAGGAGACAGAGAAGACAGAGTACCTTAGATGACACAAGGAACCGATCGAAAAAGAAATTTACTACTTTTGCGCGAAGTTGCGATCAAAATGTACCTTTTGTCTTTCGACCTTCTTGATCTCTTGGTTTTCTTGACCCGATCTCGCTTCACTTCAGTGCGTCATTGCTCCCTTTCACACCTTTTGACACTGGTGAGATTCACAGTAAGAGATGCGATCTAACGACTAACACGTTAGCTTGGAATAAAATCCCGTCTCCTGTCGACGAATCCAAGTGCCGATGGCTGACGGATCAATGTACAATCGTCATGGGGAAAGATGACCGACTACCCAGTGGTTTTGGTTTTTCTTTTGCCAATCATTCCACATCGCCACAACATCTATTGCGTGCTGAGTGCTATACAGCAGCTAGAGTAGCATGGTAGCAGCACTATCCCCGTCGCCGATCCCCTCTAACGCATCCGCCACGATCGTCACAGCGGACCATGGCGGCAAGCGGATATAGAATGATCTTCCCGTTTTATAACTATAAGATCCTCGATAGTGTCGTAGGCTGGTACGTAGGGAATGTCGAAAAAGCCACTGGCCACTGGGCACCGCCCCTAACTAGGATACTCTCATTCTTCCCACCAAACTCAAGACTTCAAGATAACGACTTAGGGCACCACCCGAAGTGACCCCGGGCACCACCTTTGGCGTGCCTAATTCAAGGTGGGGCGTGCCTACTCTCTGTAAGTCATTGCCTCTGCCGCAGGTGGAGGCGGAATACTAATGGTTGACCTTTAGGGGGTTAGGGGGTTAGGAGGTTAGGGGTTTAGGGAGGTTAGGGGGTTAGGGAGGTTGGGAGGATATCATTAGTAATTTTTCGATTGATTAGTAGAGGAACCACCCACAATAGCATTGTGTTTCTAACTCATTAGTTCGATTCATTAGGTTCCTGACCGAAGGTGGTGCCCGGGGTCACTTCGGGTGGTGCCCTAAGTCGTTATCGACTTCAAGTCGCACAAGTTGATACAACTGAACGCCCGAAAAACTGACAGCTGTCAATTTTTCCTTTCAAAGGGACCCCACAATTCCACGTTTCCTTACCCTATCCTTTGATGGCTTGATCGTCTCTCCCTTCCGGTTCCTCTTACGATCCTCATAATCTGCTATTCCCCCCCGTCCCCTCTCTCGCGTGCTTACGGACGGAACAAAGATTTTAGGATAACACACCTGATGCACTGATGTATCATATCTCTCCTGATAGAGCTTACGACTTGCGCTATACACTCTCCGGGGAATACGCCCAAAACAAGGTCATTCCTTCCGGGGGCGTCTCTTGTCTCTTGTCATTTCTCACATTTTATCATTTCTTGATCTTTGATTGAACTTTGACTCTTGGTTTATGGCTTTAACCGGGCGTTTTTACGACCAAAAAGATCAAATACCTTGGGATCAATTTGGTACTTTGGGCCCTTGGGATTGAAGAGTTGTTTTGAACTTTGGAGTGATTTTTGATGTAAAGGGAAAAACTCATAGCCGTTCTTTCAATCTTTGATCTTTGTTGGACTAATCTCAAAGTGGAGGATATAAATCCTTGGTGTTGGAATGCAAATGGTTGGAAAGACCCATTTCATATACGATTTGAATGAAAAAAACTTGGGAGACATGTCACCTGTGGTGACTATAACGTGAGTTTGTCTCGTATTATTTACTCTTTACTTGCATACTTACTGTCCTATCTGGACATGAGAGTGTCTTCACACAAGATTATCACTGTCTTGTCGATCACCATGTTACACATGGGCGTAGTCTGAAGGATGAATGTGCAGAGGTGGACAGGGAGATGGATAGAACTGACAAATAGAGCTTTGAACGATCCTGTCGCACTTGTACATATTCCAATTCACCTAGCTGATTCATACACCACCAAACTGTATTGGACCATCATAAAAGCTGGCGATCTGTCTGCAGAGTTTTTCAACGTCACTTCAAATCGTGTGGAGGTGAGTTAGATGTTTACTTTCTACCGCCTGTCTCATCTTCCGTCGTTCACTGCTCATGATCGGTCCCCGTCACCTATTCTTGTACATCGTTCACTGGCTGCAGAATTCTGTCACCGAACGTAGTACTCTTAGGGGGACAAATACACGATGGAAGAGGTCTTGTGTGCCCCGGGAGCGAACGTTCTTTCTCGAGAGCATGACTATACAAATAGCTATTGAGGTCACCACGGAAAAGTCGATGGGGTGAATGGCCAGCCGAGCTGACTTAAGATCGCCGTCTTCGGCTCTATCGACCTAGTCAATGAAGAATGGTCCGACGCTGATCAAGATGTGAGAGTTAGTGGAAGTTGGAGAGTGTTCGAAATATCGTCAGGGGACGAGGGAGAGGGCGGTAATTATGGTGAGTCAACCTTTCTACAATATGTCATAATGTGCATATACCCTGAAAGAAGCCAATCCCTTTCTACAGTCTGTGCTCAGGACACGGATAATTCCATGCTTTTCAATCCATGAGAAAGAAGATGCGACACAGTTTATGCTGCGAAGAGAGATATGGGATGATGGCTGACGATAGACTCTCCTCATCTACGTGAAGTCTCCGCGCCATTGGCAAAAGCTGGCATTTCGATCCTCTATCAATCTTCTTATTTCACCGATTTTCTACTAGTCAGATCATCGGACTTCGTCCGTGCTTCAGAAATATTTGCCGGCCAAGGGTGTGAGTGTTTTGTTTTTGTTCCCCTTCCCAATCCCTGTAGACACCACTCAAGTACTCATGACCGTCTCGTGGGCCATTGGCTTACTTTATCACTTGATCATTGACATCACCCGCTTTCAAATGTTGGTTCGAAGGTAAAGGGAAAGTAATTAGAAGAGAGACGCAGAGAAAAGAGAAGAAGTTACTGACTCAACAGGGCACATAGATCCTCTTCCTTCTATTCCCCGACGTCATTCCCAACTTCTCTCACCGACCTCCCCGTCCCCCACTCGACCATTCCCATCACCTACAACACGTATATCCCCTCCACCTCCTTCTCAACCAGAAATAACAGTACTCTCTTCTCCTCTAGCTTGCATCGGTATTTCCCATTCAGCAGCAACTTCAGACGTAGCCGAACGTCTAAGACGATTTATAGTTTGGCCTGAACGTTCCGTTCAATCCTCTCAGACTTCTCGATCCCGTGAAACTTCTCCTTGCTCTGATTCTCGTGATCACTCCACAGAGAGATACGGAAGGAGGAAAAGACCAAGAAAGGAAGAAAGCAGACCATTCGTCAGTTACACAAGGACTGAAGATGGGAGTAGTCTCATGACTGAAACAAGAGCTTTGAAAGCTGTTTTCGAAGGACAGGAAGTTGATATACAATCCGGTGGAGAAATACTTTCAGACTGGGAGGATGAATCTGATTTAGATTTGTCTGATGGAGAATCAGATTTGGAAGATGATGAAATGCCAAGGACACCTGTTTCAGCTAGATCAGGATATTTCTCACTTCATCATGGGGTACAAAATCAGACAGATGAGAATACTCAGACAGATGAAAATGATCAAACAGGCGAGAATTCTCGGACGGGTGAGAATGATGGCGACGAGATTGGAAACCCTGAAAGAGATAATGAGGAAAGGACAGGAAGAAGAAAGGAGAGCGTGAAATATGAAGGAGAAAGAAATGGTGGAAAGAAAAGATTCTCTTTACCTGCTACACCTGGTGATTCACCAATGACCATTCAATGGACTGGGAGAGTGACCAGATCAATTTCGAACAGAGCGAAGAGAGAAGGAGAAAGAGGAGGAAGGAAAAGATGTTTACAATTGGATTTAAGAGGTGTAGGTAGTGGTGATGAAGGAGAGGGAACATATCATATGGGTGAGTTATGTTGACCTTTCTTTCTGTTCTTTCCATCTCCTTCCATCGTCTTCTTCTTCTCTCTCTTCCAATACCTACTCTCTTCATGTTTCGTTCGTCGTTCCCAGCCTTTCATCCCATCGGAGTTCTCAGACTCCTAGGCTGTACTGTGATCTTTCATGGTAGTTTTGTCGAAGCGGACGGTGTTACTTGCTATACCTAACCACTACAAACTAATGACATCTTTGGGGGACTGAGTCAAAGAGATCTCGGGTACTGACTCTACAGACAAATCAGGTCTAGTCACCAGATTCTCTTCTTTATTAAACACAGCACAAATCAAGATGCTTTATTCATCAACTATGCACACTGCAAACGTTTTGGTCGAAGCTAGGGACGTTAGACGTGCGAAAAGTTTGTTAGAAAGAGGTGGAAGACAAGTTTCACCTTGTTCTGTTCTTTAAGACTTTTGGTCTATCCTCTTTATTCCTCTACCATCATAAATCTTTCCCTGTATCAAGATTCCTTGAACTTGTTTCCGGAAATTGGCGACTTGTGAGAATAAAATATCAAAATAGCGAAACGCTGAAAACCCCTCCTACATGATTCTCTTCCCCACCACCACTATCAAAACCTCCACTACCGTCACTCAGAGTCAATATCGACCATCATCTCACCATTCCCAATTTATCGTGACTTGTATCAAATCTGTATCTTACTACTGTCAATTACTTTCCATAGCATGTCATGCATTGATTTTCTAAGAACCCAAAATATTCTCACAATTCATCATCATTCCAACTTGAACTTTTGACCCGTTAACTATCTACCAAAGCTTGAAAACGCTATATGTCAATCATTTCCAAGTCATCAGAAGAGGGGAAAAAACAACTCACACCCTTGCTCTCAATGTTATCTCATACTCAACCTTTCACGTTCTCTCTCTAACCTCTCACGTTTCCCTCGAAGCATTATGATTTTTCTTCTTTGAGCAGGATTAAGATCTTTCATGTCTATTCCTTGTAATTTACTTCCACCTTTTGTATCTCCTTCCACCCCTTTGACCCCTCTATTCACCTCATCTACTTTACTCCGCCTATTCCCTGATCCCGTCACTTCTGAAGAGGTATTGGGAACCTCGGGTAATTTAGCAGATTGTAATATCCCTAATCTTTCTTCCAACCTGTTCATATGTATCGATTCTTCCTGTAATAAATTATCCGCACGGGAAATGAGGGCGTCTATTTGAGGAGCGAGGGTTGAAGAGAGGGATGATTTGTAAGATTGGATAGTAGGTTGAGGAAGGACAAGGTAATGCTGTTTTTTTTTGTCAATGATCGTCTCAGGATATTAAGATAGATTTGAAGAATACCGCAAGAAGCGGTCAAAGTCGGATGAGACAAATCTATTAAAGGTTAGGACACAAAACCAAAAACTCACATGTTTATTCCTTAAAACTTTACCTAACCTAGGTAAATCCCTCGTACCCAATTCCAGATTCTCCAAACCCCTAGTTAAAATCTCGCAACATGATTCAGTGGCTTGAACACATTCTTCGAGGGAATAAAGGAAATCATGTGATGGAACTGGGTATGTGGATTCCCGAGGGGCCATAATCACGATGTCTCTGTATTGATTTGTTGAGCGGGTTGACGGACTTGTGGATGACGGAGTTAAACCTCAGATGATGTTGAAGGAAAGATGGTCTGAAGGTTTTGAAGTCGTGTCACGGATCAGTCTAGTACTACTGTGAGATACTGGGTCCGTTCGGGGTGGTGATTGTGATGAGAATGTTGAGAGTCTGGATTGGGCGATAGGTTGATTTGGGGACTTGACTCGGAGTCTTGGTCTAGATGAAATTGGGGTGGTTGAAAGGAGTTTGGAGGTATGAGACTACGAGACCGAGGATTGATTGAGGGTTGGAGGAGGAAAGAGGAAAGAGGGTTGGAATGGAAACGCGTGAAAGAGTGAACGCGTCGTGAGAGTAGTTGTCAAGTTCTCTTTAACTTACCCCGGTCTATATTTGTTGCAAGTCTTTCTGCAATTCTTGCGTACATGTCATGGACTGGATAGAGACTAGATTGTGAGAAGTATCCTACATGCTACATGCTACATGCTACAGTTAGATTTCTCCACATCGCTCTGTCCGAGTGAAAGAAAGTGAAAGATTGAACTGGAGCTGGACGTGTGTCTTTGGTATTCGAGCATGACCATTGGACGGATGACGATAAGCTCATGACTCATGACACTCATGACCCCGTTTCATACCAAACTACTACCGAATGTCCGAGTGTCCGAACTGCGGTGCCCAAATCTCATACTGTCAACGTCAGAGTATGTCAACATGACAAACATGTCTGCAGCAGACCGAAGGAAGAAAATCCAAAGATTTGAAAGAAGGTCTTTGAGAACCTTTCCCTCTCCCTGAGACGCGTACCTCCTTCCGACGCGTCGGTACTAGGAACTGTATGGACGCGTCGCGTGTTGGTAGTAAAAGCAACGTTTTCTTTCCCCACATCGTCAATTACACTCCCTCTGCTCTCCTACCTTGAACCCATAAACATACCTATGACCCTTGCCTCGTGTGTGTGTATTTGTACATCATCATATTCGACCCTTTTCTCTTTCGTCTTTGTTGACATTCCTTCTTCTTCCTTCATTGACCTTGAACGACTACCATTTTTTGAATGACCGTACGAAAGTTCTTTTCTTGACATTTCATGTTTCTTGATATCATATTCCATTCATCTTCATTCAAAAAATTCATAACTACAACAACTGGATATACCAACCATCATCATCATCTCTTTCAAGTTGGGGAATTACCAAGATCAATACAAGTACAAGTCAAATATCATCAACACTACTCATGTCTCTTCGAACTATTCCATCTATATCATCATCTGGGATTGTACCCGTTTTCCATCCAAATCATCCTCATAACAATCGAGCATCACCATTGAAGCAGAACCATCCTAATATACCTTTACGATCACTGGGCAGGTCCAAGATGATTTCGGACGAATCGGATTTATCTCCTAGTCCTGAACAATTGAAAAGATGTTTTTGTGGTAGACAGGTGGAAAAGGAATCTGATACGGGTATGTATTGTTCAAGAGGTGAGTTGAAAGTGTGATCGTTTTAACCGATTGGTTGTTTATCTTCTGTCAAGTTTGTTGTCACCTTTTGCCACTCGGGGTTCGCGGTCGCGGTCGAGGTCAGATTTGGCCACTGGCCACTGGACCACTGAATCAATCACCTCACACTCTATCTTTGACAGCTTCCTCACGTGTCCAATAATGTTACCAAGCCACTATGAGCATATCCTTCTTTTGTCGCTTGGTTTTTTGCTGAACTCACCTTGTCCCTAGATTTGGGAGAGTGACAGGGGCCAAATAATCCCAGTAGGATGTGTAACTGACAAGACAGAATGCGCTCAACGCGACACATTCTCATCACTATGCTACAAACCTCAAAACTCATCTCTCACACAACCTCTCACCTCGTCCGCTTCGATATCACGCGGAACGTCTTTATCTTCTTCCACCTCCAGCACCTCTGCCAATTATCAAGATGAGGAATACGGTTCTCATTATCGTCGTATGGCCCGTGCCGATTTACGTCGTGAAGAAAGAAGAGAAGAGCGTAGACGTCGACGTGCCGAAGGAAGTGTCGCGTCCACTTCTTCACGATCAACCATGATGTCAACCTCTTCTTTCGCATCATCTCGAATACCTGATTTAATCCATTCTCACTCTAGAAACCCATCCGTCGCATCTACCGCATCATCCATTTGGAGCTCTAATCTCAGTCGAAATCCTAGTTCAGCTTCGAACGTTTCTTCAGTCTCGAGAGGATGTAAAATGCAATTAGAAGATGCTATCATGGAAGATGATGATGAAGAAGAACTTTTAGATGGAGTTTTCACACAAGGTAAACCTCAACGTACACGTATATTACATCCAACCAAAAAAATGACGGTACATAAACGTAGACCTTCACATGGTAATAACGTGAAAAGGATCGAACCTTTCGGAATGGGACAAGATATGTTGGATGTTTTGGAAGATATAATTTCTATGGAAAAAACTTTCGCTGTTGAAGAACAAACTTCTTCACCTGGGATTTTCACAGCTGTTTTCGATAAACCGCCTAGAACACCTTCTCCTATAAACGATAAACGTATATCTACCATACCGGCTGCTCCAGGAGCTCCTGGACGTCATAGAGGTACTTCAAGTATGTCTGTTCATATGCCTGTTCAACAATCCATGGGATTAGGTTTACATCAATCTTCTTTATCAGAATCACATACCGCTTTATATCTCGTTACTGCTTCACCCGAACGTCAAGATCGCAGGTCGACAAGTCCAAAATTATCAACAAGACAGAGTCTTACATTTTCAATCGATTCGGCAGGTCCATCAATCCCCACAATACCATCAATATCATCAATCCCAATCAGTTCCTCCAATTCGAGTACTTCAAGTATTCCAATTAGTAGTATCTCCAGTAATTCAAGTTTATCAAATTTATCAAGTAGACCTTTTAGGAAATTCGATTCACCAATGGTAACTCCTTCAAGACGTAACATTTCACCCACAGGTTACGCTCCAATCGGTAAATGGCGTTTCCCAACACCAACATCATCAGATTCCATCACTCCTACTCGTGCTAGACAAAGACAAATATCAGATCCTATGCAAGGAGAAGATATTGGACCTGCACTTCTTTGGCCACCACAAAGAGATTTTGCACCTAGTTTATTTCCTACTTCACCAGCTACGGGTACTCCAGAATTTGGATCGATTGAAGGGGTAGGAGCAGGGGTATCTATTCCTGATAGCGGAGTGAAATTAGGGGTTTTATTGGGTAGTGGGAATATGGAAATTGATGAAGGTGGTGGTAGTAGTACGGAACATGTTCATGGGAATGAGAGAACGAGAGGAGAGTATTTACCTGTTTTTTTGGAAGCGGAAGGATTTAGGGCGGGACCTTATTGAGTTGGAGAGGGGAATGAGATTTGTGTATAGTGGGCATAGAGGAAGTGTATAAAAAGGATCAAATGTTTCTTTCGGTTTACACTTTATCTCATCTTGGGCCCATTGGACTGGACAATTTTGAAGCGCGGTGCGCGAAGGGTAGATTTGTATCAAGTACGAACAACATCATTTGAAATGCATTTAGATTATATACTGGAAATGTATTCTTTGGTCACGGTCAAGATTCATAAGCTTATTTGAGAATAAACACCAAACATTACCATAGGCCTACCTGCAATACCAATTGGGGCAAAACGAATCGGAAATTCTGATCAAATCAATTCCTATCCATCTTTTTCTCATCTTTGCTTATCTCTCTATCTGTCTTTACTTTTTCTTTTCCATACTCGTTACCTTCTCTTTCAAGCATCTTACATCTGTGCCGTTGCTGTGAACAGACAAGGAAAAATGAGTGTGTTTCGCCCTTTGCTCAGAAATGTCACTACGACTCGTTTTAGAATCAATACCAGGGTATGGACAAATACCATCATTTCAAAGAGGTTCATAGCTAGTGAGTTGATCCTTATCTTCTTCCTCTTCTCCTTCTCCTTCTCCTTTTCCTCTCATTCTCTTCCTTAAAATCCTCCTCTTCTCTCTCAACCTCTTCCTCAAAATCCTTCTCTGGCGACGTCCTTCGTCGAAAAAATTCCATCCGTCAATTTCCCCTCGAGATAAGATCACCTTTCTTCATCTCATCATGACTACAATAATCTTTCTCCTTTCCTCACCTTAAGCAAACAATCCGTCCGACGGAGGTAGAGGTTCTCGTTGGAAAGCTCCCGTGTATGTAATTGACATCAGCTCGTTACACAGTCGATCATGAATGGGTATCTTTTGATCCTTCTTCGAATATCGGGACGGTAGGAATCACCGATTATGCTCAAAAAGCTTTAGGAGATGTGGTATTTGTTGAATTACCCGGAGTAGGTAGTGAAGTAGCTCAATCTGGTGAGGTTTTTTTTCAACTGGTCTCATACTTTCTCTTATCATTCTACTTTACAAAAAACTTGGAAGAGAATGATTTTCGATATCTCATATCCCCCACTTTCGAACTCATTTATAGGATACACACTTTTGGTCTCATATATATTTTAGGTAACATTCTACCCCATATCCCTTACCCTACTCCGAGTTACGATTCGTATTCCATCATTACTGAAAATTCCGGTGATGGGACATAGGGAGAAAAGCTTACGAATAGATCCTATTGGAGCTGTCGAATCTGTCAAAGCTGCTTCTGACATTTACGCACCTGTATCGGGTATCATTGAAGAGATCAACGAAACTTTATCGGATCAACCTGGTTTATTGAACAAATCGCCTATGAAGGATGGTAAGTGTTCATTCATCATTCCATCTGTTCTGACTTCTGCATTCCTCCCTCTTTCTTCTCACTATCACATTGCTCTTTAGGGCTATCATTTCAAAGTCGGGTGTTGGGAAGAGGACAGGATAGGTGAACGTAGGGGAACTCAGATCTCCCCTCTGGGTTTGGAATAAAATAAAGTACGGAAAGACCAACTCATATTTAGGTTGGCTCGCAAAGATCAAACTTTCCGAACCATCAGAATTCGAGGCTTTGCTCAATGACGAAGCGTACAAAGCCCATTGTGAGGGATCCGAGTGAATGTCTCCGTTCAAACAATTTCGAAGATGCAGTCAATATGCTAATCGATATGTTCAAGGACGACTTCGAGACAGACCAAGCGATCCTAAACATGGCTGATAAATCTACTCAAACTCCGCAGGCGCTTCGTCTAGTCTGTCAGACAATTCTGACACTCCCTCCCTTAGATGTCGTTTGGGTGCCGATGCGAAGATCACCTCGTCCGGTCTATCCGATTGTATCGGTCAATGAGGATTGTCTCCTTTCTACTTCCCCCACTCAAACGGTCAGTCCCCGCTAAGCAGTCAAAATAACTGAGCTCGCCTGTTTTCGAAGACCCCTTATCACTCCAAGCAGGCTCAGCTTACAAAGGATCTCACAGCGGAGATTGGCTGATTTGACACATGCCCCACTCCTCATATACGGTGAAAAGCCCGATATCGGGGGTTATGAAAACCACCTCTTTGGGTCGTCGATCTTCCCTAACACATACTGCACCTCGAATTGGACTTTGATACTTACAGTAAAGCGGCTACCTTAAACAACCAAGATGTCAGGCAGTAACGATTCTCGTTATGATATTAGATGGAAAGACATCAAGCGCATATGGAATCCTCCTGCGCCGAGTGACGAGAAGACAGATCAAGACACAACTCAAGGCCCAGGTTCTGGGTCAGCAGAAGCGAAGCAGAGCACTTTCCAATGGGACGACCGCGCTAAATCTTTCGAGGACGATGAAGAGTTTCTTGGACTTACGCCCGATGACAACGAACAAGGACAAACTCAACAAACAACCTTTGGTGGTCCGATCTATGGTGAACCCCAAAACACCACGGTGAGTTGTTAACAATCTTCGCTGGCGTATGGCAGCTCATATACAGAATCCGACGGTACCGACGGAACCAAGTAATCCACATCAATTCAGACAAGGATCTCACCGACGACATAGGCCTACGAACGGTAGCAGATCCGCAAACCTCACCACACTGTCTCGCTCTAATACTGTCAATTCCACAATGAGCGTAGTGCAGTCACCCCAGAGAAGTGTGGATTCAACAATGAGAAGTCCCCAGGTAATCGGCCATTACGATGAGCGTGGACTATTCGTTCCCGGCCCTTCTCCCGTGACATATATGACCTCGGTAGCTGTTCCGTATGTTCTGCCAAATGCGGGTGGGTATAGCCAAGTCCCAGGTGCATACTCACCTTACGGACCTTCTTATTATCCATCATATCCATCTTATCCACCTTCCACACAAGGGAATTGATCCTTCTTCCGACGCATGCCACAAATGTGACGCTTTTGGTGATAGACACATGAACGGTGGGTGGTATGAGTGAATGTGGAGGAGGTTTTTGAGGTTCAGTAATAATTTAGCCGTATGTGATTGAAATCTACTGAATATTAACTATGATTATTCATTCTCAGTGAATATGATCGAAGAATGTTTTCCACTCGATCGAGAGAGGATTCGAGCTTCATGAGTTCGATGCGCCTTCTAGGGCTTGTATCTTTCTCTATCACCTCCCTTTCATCCTCAATCTCCGCTCGTCACACATTGACACATCTGACAATCCACCTCACGACAAAGGTTCAATGAGAGGATGACACATCTTCCTCATCGGTCATTGTCAATCTCTATATCAACACTCTTCAGCACTGAATGTTTGACGCATCTAGTTTACGCGGACATTTTATCCGACAACCAACAGCATCAAACGTTTACCCCATAATCCACTTTTAGTAGACACAATGAACATTCAATCCACCGCCACTTCTACCTCTCCAATCAATCAAATCTTCTTACCTACCGCAGAAGAACAACTTTCCGACGCTGAAGGATTTACAGAGGCAGATGATAGACGTCACATTCCTGGGTTACTCACTGAAGAGGAGAGATTGGGGTACACAGAAGAATATCAGCTTTGGCAAACATGTGTGAGTTCCATTTCATATCACCTCTACATTGTTTCTTTCTCTTTTTCTCCAACGCTCTTCCTTGATTTATTCAAGAGCCATGAATGGTGACGAACCAGTACTGATTTCAGGCTGATCAATCTTCCACACAAGCCGGCTGGGGTAAATGGTATACCCAACCACTTCCATCGAACAATACGCAGGCCCAAACCAATCACGCTATCATCTCTTCCCCCACCCAACTTCCGTCGACGAGTCAAAGCAGTATGAAATCTCCCACTTTCACTCGACATGAGTCTCGTCGATCTAGACATGATTCCTCTGTTTCGATCAACTCCACCGGGTTGGATCCCAAGGCTAGTGAATGGAACCCTGATGGTGTTCTTCCTGAGGCAACGAAAGAATGGTCATCTTTAGAGGAAGCACATGGCACCGACTGCTCGAGAGAGTCAAGAGGGATACAATCAACCCCGGGGACACTCCTCACTCGAAGAACTATAGGGACGATGGAAACTACAGAGAAGACTTTGACTTATGGTTCGTTCCCAGAAAGAAGGTCAACTAATCATCAATGATCTACTCATGTGAAATCTGATTTTGCTCATACAACATGCATTCTTTCTCCCTTGTTCATTTGAATGTTTGAGGGGTGGAGAAGATAAAACTCCGTTCATTTCGAAGTGTACTCTCTCAATTTGAATACTCATACTGTCACACAAGAGTTGACAATTGTTCCTTTCTCCCAAGTTACCCTTCATCACACATGTCACATCTGATATGTAGAACTCAGCTGATACTTGAAACTATTCATCTTTCGTCAGGTCTTCTTAAGACTGACCTATTCTTTCTTCGTTCATCCATAACGACTTTCTTATACCTCAGTATCTAGGGCAGAATGGACGGCAATCCCAATACTAAGCTGTCATCAGAGGATCACGAACAAGATGAAGAAGGATACTTCTTAGATGAGTTTGGACATCACATCCCATTGTCTCTGCTGGAGGATGAACAAGACACGGAGGAAGAAAGTGAAGCGTGGGGAGCATCTGTGAGTTTTTTGATTCATGTTCACATTTTCATTTCTCACTGGTAACTTACTCCTTACCCTTAACTTTCATTTCTCCTTGTCTTTTCTACATGTTATTGGTCTAATGACATTTCCTTATTCTCCTTGTCTTTTCTACATGTTATTGGTCTATTGACATTTCCTTATTCTCCCCGTTCACCGTCTTGATCCTTTTTGCATTGATGAAGCTTTCATTGATCTCAGCTACTTGAATATCCGACGGCAGAGACCCCAAACTTGATACAATATTCTCATGACACAAATGTAGGTCAACAAATGTCAAAGTCAACGTCTACACATATCCCACCAAGGTTAGGAGATGGACTATCAATTCTTCCTAGACGTCTAAACGGTCTTGATCCTGCCATACCCGAATGGACTCCTGATGCGTCGTTGTCGATGGGATCAGACGGTAATACGGCTCAGTACAGTGTGAACGGGTTCAACCCCTCTTCCCAAACGCCTACTAACTTTGACCAAACCCCTCAAACTACTTATCCCCCCAACAACTCGATGTCAACTACTTGGTCAACTCAAGACAACATGGTCCAATGGAGGTTAAATGATTAAGTAGAGGTCACCCCTTCATGGTATACTCAATCTCAACCTCAAACAGGTCTTGATCCTTTTGTCACCGGACCGACTCCTCGTACTTTGTCGTTGATGGGACCAGAATGGAGTACGGTGGTAAGTGCTTTCAATACTGCTACTGCGGGTCAGACGACAAACTCGACGAAGGGGGGTAAAAAGAAGAAGAAGACTGAGCAAAATACGACCGAGTAAGTCAGTCGTGCTACAAGTGATATGTCATTTCAGGATGAACAATCGGGGTTACGTAGGAGGAATCAACATCATGCATGACTTCATTCAATGATATCATGGAGATATTTCGATTCACTACGTCGATATGTGATATGACGTGCATTATGATCTGACATGATTGATGACATACTCATCCCTCCTCCTTTTATATGTATACAGCTGACAATTGTCATCTGAAACGAACGGAATTTGTACTCCGCTAACGATCGACTCCCTCCTCCACATGCTTCCTTTCTAACCTGGCTTTACCATGGTCGTTGGGCATGATAAGCGACATTCTCACGTATCTCCTCTCTCCTCTCGAGTTATCAGAAACTCAGCTTGGTCTATATATAGCTGCCAATGACCATTGATCTTCCTCCTTCATATCCATTTATCATTTTTTCAATCATCACCCTTTTTCAAAAGACACATAACCGAAATAGTCAATAATGAGCTCCCGTTCAAATATCAAACCACCTCGAGGAACATCTTCCACGAAAAGAACAAAAGGTAAACGTCAATACACCACTGTAGACCCTACTGAATTCAATTGGACGGTTTCAACTGATGGAGGACTCGTTCTCGGTCTTCCTCCCGTTTCTACTCGCCGTACGTCTACTCGTCCAACAGACATAAACCAAATTACCACTGATATGGGTGATATGAATTTAGACTCCACCGTCATCTCACAAGGAAAGAAAGAATCCGAGTTGACTGGAGAACCTTCTACTCAACGATCCAAGAGTAAACCGAGAAGGATGAGTTTCGATTGGGCAGATGATGTACAGGAGAGAGTTGATTTGAAAGAAGATGCCAATATTGTCGATCCTTCCATACGTCGATTGGATAAGGATTTTCCTCGTGAGTAAATTCATCGATGTCAGGATATGAGAATAAAGCTGAATCATACAGTACATAGCCCTCGTCCTTCTCGACAATTATCACTTGTGGTTGACGAATTGAAAGATAAGGTGGAAGATGGTGAGCTCGTTTACGACCAAGATGAGGTTGAAGGATCAGGGGATGAGGTGGAAGAGGGGTTGTATTCTCCTGAAGAATATGACGACATGGTTGAAGAAGATCATGTTGATTCGTCGAGATACGATCAGTCGTACGTTTCCATGAACCCTGGTTTCATATACAACTCTCCCCAACATGTAGATCCTCGATGGTCGACAAATGGACCGGGATACGGATCGATGAACCAACATGAGTATTATTCTAATCCCTATGGGCAACCTCAGACGTCTTATGCGTCGCAGATGTGGCCAGTCTCAGTACCGAATTCTGGATACTATCCCCATCCTTCTCTGTCTGGTCAGACCCAATCCACAAGTCAATCACAGAGGAAAAGCCTTCGCGCCGACGCACCGGAATTCAAACCTGGTCAGAAACACGGAGGGAAGTGATCAGAAGATGATGGTCGGAATGATTAGTTAGTGAACATTAGTACTGGATGAAATTCTATTGCATCTAGCAATTTTGACAAAATGATACACGTACAAAGATGACATTTCCCTCTTACAACAACTATTGACCAGGAGGATATCTTTCTCTACCATATGTGACCGGGAAATTGGTTCCGTTAGGAGACCGCATATCTCTTGAGATTCGTGCGGGAGATGGAATGGGGAATTGAGCTGGTTCAGATGGGATTTCGACGGTATATGTTGTAGCGTTGGTCTTTGACCGTCTGACTCCGGATGGACGGGCTTCAGGGAAGAGCTCAGATTGACGAGGATCGTGAGAATATCCGATATCTTGTTCGGGTAAGGGATGTGGACCGTCGACGTCATACACTGACATGGTGTCATTGGGTCGATATCTGTGCTCAGCGCTGTACGTCTAACATGATTGAAAGCATAACAGTCGCCCTGACAAAAGGATTCGAGAGCTCAGGGGAGTCTGGATTGCATACTGGATGTTTGATGAATGTCTGGGACGTATGAAGAGAGATTTGACAGACGGAGAGCTCACTGGATATCATATGGGTTCCGATAACTTTGATAACTTTGATGAGCTATCCGATGTTGTTGAAGTATAGGACTTCGACTATCATCGACTTCACCAGTCTCGGGATCTTTATAACTCGAGCGCTGCTTTCCAGTGACTGGATCCATACTAACACCTTTACCTGCCAGAGCCATTCTGATTATCAGCCAAGCTTCCTCCACAATGGCACCCCGTCGTCGGGGGTATTAGAAGGGAGGGGACAAACCTTTGTCGACGCCAGACTATAACCCGAGCTTTGCTCATTTCCCGCCATATGTACCAAGCAGCAAGAATAGTGATGACTATTCACGTCAGATGTCTGTAGGTAAAATAAAAGTGGAGCTCACGGAATCCAATTGCCAAAACAGAATCTGAGATGATTTTATCTTTCGTAGTCTTCTCTCCTTGTTTGAATATGACACCGAGGTATACAACAGTGAGCTATACATGAGCTCATTTCTCTTCGAATTTTAGGACAGCTCTGACCTGTTTGGGTAATGTCAAAATAGTAGCGATGACGAACAACCAGATGTTGACGCCGACCGTGGAGAAAACCGCAGCTATCACGTCAGCTGAGACCTGACTAAATGCAAGGTAAGCCGACTGGTGAAGTGTCTAATATATTAGCGCCCTTCAGAAACGATGAAGGACGGATACGTACCCAGGGATAGCACTAAGACGAGCCATGAAAATGATCATGAACCCTCCTTCGCGTACTACGTGGGCCAAACATGCGTAGTTGAAATTTGTACGTTCATGTTTTTCGGCCATGGACCGAAGACAGTATTTGAAAGCGTAAAAATTCCCAATCTAAAGAAATCAGTTTTTTCCAGATATGGAGTTAATGGATTTGCTGACCTCTCCAAGGAATGTGCCAGCTGATACGATCCCGAAACCGACCCAAAGACCCCAAACGACCCCGACGAGTATGGCGACGATCTGTACTCGGTCAGCTAAGCTATGGAAGTGTTAAAAATAGATTTACCTCATGTCCAAATAGCGGAGGAAAGGAGATGACGAATAAGACGGCTGGGATGGTCAGTGTCGTCATGAACGGAAGAGTTGACAGACCTATGGGTATAGTCCAACCAGCTGGTAAACTGACGGTCAGCTTGTCGAGACTTGCTATGAGCAGAACTCACTTTTTCATCCAATTGGCAACCGGTGTTAACCAACCGACAATCTGACTGTCAGCTTGGAGCATTGAGATTGTACTAGCCGACTTACTTGGTCATGGAAGACCGACATCAGTATGACCAGCACACTTATCAGCGCCAGGATGAGATAATAAACTGCTATCAGCTCTTCTCAATGACCACATATCATCCAGATAAAAGAAAGCGGGTGAGAGACAGAAAGACATACACCACCATTCTTTTCTAATCCAAAACCTCCAACTTTTCACCGCGTGCCAATCCACCAAACCCTTTCGTAAGAACTCTCTCTCTGCTTCTTCGTCCTCTTTTGTCCATCCTGGCGGTCTCTCATCTCTTAAAGGATGAGTACTTGACTGACTTGCGGAACGCATTCTCGATGGTAAACTAGCTGCCGATGAAGCAAACGGTTCATCTTCCCTTGGCTCGGGGTTGGGTGATGGCGCCAGGTTGTAAGGTCCTGTTGGTTCATAAGGCGCATTGTAAGCAGGTGCTAAAGATTCCTCTGAGTATCCTGGACCATACGCTGATGGCATGGTAGGTCTTGTATCTTGACTTGGGTTTCGATCCCGCCGTTGATAGTGGTATTGATGTTGCTGTTGTTGCTGTTGACTGATGGAAGCTCGGTATGTTGGAGGATAAGGATGAGAGATAGGTAAACGAGAACTCTGACCTGGGTTAGGGTTGGGGTTTGTAGGTTGAGGAAACTCCATCTTGGTCGGAAGGACCACACGGATAGATTGGTGGCTTGAATAGATGGTAAAATGGTCCAACTAAAGGAGAAGAGGGAAAAGGTAAGGCGGGTTGAGGAAAGTAAGGTAAATATTGACCGTCGTCAAGTCAAAGAAAAAGCTTTGACCCGCGTCGTCGAGGGCGAAAAGAATCGTAACTATTGATCCTTCGTAGTTGTCCACCAATTTGCCAAGCGTCGTCTCGATTCTATGCTAAAGGGGAAGGAAGAGAGTGGAGGACAATAAAGGAAGGTGATGATGAAGGAGGCTGTGTTTCATCCTGGCTGGTTGCGGAGAAGATTCTCACTCGGCATCATCCATCAGTCACATGCTACTTGCTGTCAAAGTGGTCATGCACAGCCTACACCTGTCCATTATGTTTCCATCCGACATGTCGTCTTCACCTCAACATGGTGCACTCGCACCTGAATAGCTATCATACGATTAGATGTCGCTAAGCTTAATTTACTTCGTAGCATGGTCTTGCCTCAGACGCAATATTGGAAACGCGTGTCAAGTGCGTGTGGCGGTGTGGCGGTGTGGTGTGGCATGTGGCAGTGTGGCGATTTGACAATGCTTTCTTCTTGTGTGTGGGTCACCTTTGTCCCTTTATCCACCTAGCTCCGCTCACAATCACGACATATATATATCACCTGACTCCCCTTACGAGTACTTCTTTCTTCCTCAACTTAAGCCACATTCGATCTATCTTACCATAACAACTTTTCATTCAACATCATCCACAAGTTCACTACCACAACACTTGTCAAATTAACATGGGAATCGAAGGTCAAGCGGGATCCACGGGTAGTAGTTCAGATGAGGAACCACTCCAACTTGTCTCTCTATACCCTAAAGAAGATACAGTGAAAGAATTCACTCAAAATCTAGAATCTTTCTTACAATTTTACGTGGACTACTCTCGTGTTCTCATACAGAAAGCCAAAACGATCAATGATACCAACATCACTGAAAACTCAGAAGAGGTAGTCATGACCGATCGTGTAGGAGACAATCAAGATACTCAAGATACATCGCTTATTCAAGCTGGAAGTCTTCCCTTGATGAGCGCCGATGTTGGATGTATTGGGACTTTTGTTCTATTCAAGCAGATGCTCTTCTCATCAGACTTGGATTTCACCCAGGAATTTCCTAAGTATGGGGCGAAACACCTGGTGGGTATAATGACAGATAATGTAAAGAAGTATGGTGAATGGACAGCAACAGCTGGATTGGAGAAAAATCATGAGCTTCTATTGCAAGATATGAACAAAGTCATTGAAAATGGTATAGAAATCATAGGTCAATCTCCTAAACTGACGGATGAACAATTGTGAGTTCTTTCATTATCTTTTCCCTGCCCCCTACCCTTCCCCTTCCCCTTCTCATTCCTGGAACCAAAAGCCTTCCCCCCTATTGTCGAAGTCGTGATATATTCAATAAACAAGAATGACACTTTCACTTCTCTTTGATGTTGTTCAAAAACGACTTCTATCCCTTGACGTTACTTTGGTGATTTTCTTTACTTGGCGTATATCATATCGTAGTCTCGTCAAGGTCAAAACTGAATGTTAGATCCAAAGCGTACGATTCAGTCACTAATGCAACTTACACCATTGGTATTCTCAAATCTTTCCCTGATTGTCCTGACCCAAGTGAAGAATATACGGATCAATTCCAAAAAGTCAATCAGGCTGTTCAAGAAGCAAATGAGACCATGCAGACTCTCATCTCCGACGCGGCCTCATTCCAACGGGAGAAACAAGGTAAGAGTTTCAGTACTTTATTCGGACCAAAAACCTCCCACGATTACGCTCTCCCTGGGGGTTCCATGACGCAGGAGACGGGGGAGAGTACGATGATGTTGTACAATGGCAGGTTTCCGGGAGATCAGGAATCCGTCCCTCCATCTGGTTGGGCCACTGGTCAGAATAATAGATTCGAGAGTCTGATCAACGCACGACGATCTATGTCCACCAATAAGGGCTATGATGTTTTGGGCGATGGTGAAGAAGATGTAGAGATGCAAGATGATACTGAGAGGAGGAACGAGAATGAAGACGATGTGATGAAAGCGGATGATGAGGAGGAAATTGGGATGAGTAGTAAGTCTTGGGGGAAACGAGTTTATGAAGGTCCGTCAGATGATGAAGCCTCTAAGCGTCATCACGGACAGGTTTCTCATAAGTGATTTGACTTGTAGAGATGAGGAATGAACAGTACAGAGATTGAGAGCGTACAATATGCAGATGATCTGATTTGACATTGAAAATCTATATGGAATCATTCTCTCAATACACGGTTCCGTCCGTCATTGATATAGATGATGGTAGAGGTGTCAACCGGCGTGACATTTCCTTGAGAGATCAGAGACAGCCAGTGGGACCGGATCCTACGTAGTCTAAGCCGAGAAGTTCTGGGGCCGGACGAACACCTCTTTCGCTATCTGTCAGCTCAATTCTAGCGATATCAAGCTGTCAAGCGACAAGTGATAATCGAAATGATATAGATGATGAAGAACTAGTGAGGGGACAGGGGAGGAGTAGAGGAGGTCAATGATGGGAAAGTAAACAAGTGAGAATAAGGATAAGGAATGTAAGAGAGGATGACTAAATTCACTCACATTTCATCCACTGCCTTGGCTAGATCATAATTGATTTCTTGGCTGACAATCGAGTCTTTCTTATACGCAGGATGTGAGATGATGAAATTTCGTATCCATGCAGCGGGGGTAACAAGTCGTCCTGCAAGTCAGCATCCAACGTTTTTTTTATACATTCCATTGGATCAGTCAGCGGCTGACTTCGGACCATCGGCTATGTCAGGACAAGACGGTACAACGGAGCTGATAGATGACCTAGTCAATGGAGGGATTAAGAGTCCTCCTTAAAATAGATGACTTGTAAGATATGAGGAAAGTGGGGACTCACCCTGAGCACGATGTTTGATCAAATCAAGTGACCTCCTCAATTCACATTTCGTAGCCACATCAACATTCAGACTATTCAAATAAGCATTAACGACTCCCATCAATCCTGGAAATCCTTCTCCACGACCATTGATAACCTCGTCCAGTGTCATTTCCACAGCTTCATCGCTATACGCTTCTTCTTCTTCCGGTGAAGGACATCTGGTCGAGGCATGTGATGATTCCCTACCGTGTCCATTGAGAAATGTAGATGATCCAGAGATAAAAGTGTGATTATGTGAACCATTGGTTGCCGAGGGTGATGTAGGAATTCTATGCGATGTTGTGGAGTCGGTCGGAGATGGTAATGTAGGAGTACGAGGTCGAGAGGCTAGATCATATTTTGTCAACGGTCTATCGAGGGGGAAGATGTTTTTACGGAAAAAGAATTTATTAGATTTGGCTGCATTACGTTCTTGGGCACGTTGCATATTCGAATCGACCTTAGGAGTTAGCCATGTGGTTCACCTTGACATTCAAAACATGTAGACTACCATCGTGCCTCCGAAAAGACAATTTCGGTGGAAATGTGAGGTGTGCATTAGACAGATGTTTGGGAACAATGAGAGAAGATGGATGTAGGGGATTGGATGGGCGACTCACCTGAGATATGGGCATGTAGAAATTAAGATCAAAACTGATGATAGCTCTAGTGAGCAAAACGATGAATATAGCAAATGCAGCATTCTCAAAATCTGTCATTTGCACTTCCATACTCCTGAACTCTACTCTCCATCCTATTGGCGAATTGACTGGTGGAGGTTTAAATCGAATGGTTTGCCAATTGGTAGATTGAATATTTTCGAAATGGTCCATGGAGGCGGTATCGTCTTGATCGATGGTCTCGGAAAATTGAACTAGAGGATCACGGATGAAGAGATGGGCAATGTGGGAAGCGAGGTGATCATCGACACCTAATCCCGTCAGCGTTTTGCCAGTGGGTTTGGGAGACTTCCGCATCAAGCTACTTGGAGACTTTGACGGACGCCAGATGATACGGAGGGTGCGTGTGTGGAGAAAAGTGGGGAATATGTGACGAGTAAGACTAACCATGATTCATTAAACGTTGTCGAACAGCAGGATCCATCGGTACATAAGTATCATGATACTCTGGTTTGTTACGTTCGTCATTGGAAATGTACAGATCAACAGAGTCGTATCGAGATTTAGGTATGCGCCATCGGTTTTCTTTGAGGGGCTGAGAGTCAGTTGAGAGCTCTACCAGAGACCACTTGATTGTCTTCGACTCCATCAAGCTGCAAGGTAGGAACGTCAAGATAGAATCCATATGACAAGTTCGAAACGAGTCCAAGGTATACTGTCCGACACGAGGGAAGGAATATATTAAACAAGGATAGAACAAAACTCACTTTCAAACCCCTCTCCTCTTCAGTCCGATCATCCACACTAGCAGCAATTACATTCCATCTCGCATCCACATCTGCCAACTGACCTCTGAAAGCCGGGCTGGCGGCTGTCAAAGCCAACATGATCGGAGCGACGGGAACGAGAGCGTCATACACTCTCCTGGCCTCGTCCACATTCCATGCTTGAAAAGTTATTTGAAGACAACAGCAGCCCATGCCGAAGCACATGGCGTCCATATGGATGTAAGGAGTGCCGGGGGATGGTTTAGCCGGGTCTTTGGGTTAACAATCTAGGTCAATGTGATACCGATTCTCATCACCTGATTCCCATCAAACGAAATGGGTTGAAGGAAATTTTGATATGATCGATGGGAGAGGTTTGGTCAAGAGAATTTACTACTCACTGGAATGACCATTAGCCTGAGGAGCAGACATGCCTTCCGGTACGACGGTATTCTCGTCTATAAAGAGAGGAACTCGGATATCGACTTTACTTCCTCTTCTTTGTCTGATATTTGCCGTCAAAGTTCTACCATCAGCGTTAACTCACATCCAGACATCTGATGAAAGTCTAAATCGAATCAAGGAAGAAGCTCCATTATTGCCTTGACTCATGAGGTGACTGACTCCAAAAAGATGTCGATCAAAGGGATTAAGAAATAAATGGTGGTCAACATTGGCAAGTACGAAAAAACGTACGGGAATCTGGCATGGGGATTGGTCAACAATTGTCCCACATATAAACTTTTACTACTACTGCCCTCTGGGTCTGGCATTGTGGGAGGTTCAGTGAAATTTTCTCCTGAAACTCCTAGCCTAGGCCATGAAGTAAGAGTTATGGGAAGTTCATGAGGGAGAAGTAGAGATCTTATGATTTGTCGTCGGAAACGCATATCGCATTCTACCGCGATAAGATCTTTTACGTGACCTGAAAACGGGGCACCGGGAGTGGATTCGACCATGTATCTTCCGTATTCCGGGTGAAACGTTGGTATTGCGACGCTGCGAATGAGTTTGTCTTCTTTCCAGTTGGCCTTGAAAGCTGTTTGCCCCCCCCCCCCCTTTCCAGCACATGCACTCGTGCAGCAAGAGACGTTGAGTAGGGTGTAGAGCAGGAAAAGGAGTGATGAGAATACGATGATAGATTAAGGTAGACAAACCATTTCTTAGGTTTATGTTTTTCCAAAGCGGGGTCCAAAGTAACACTTTGCAATCTCTCCAAAATCTCCGTTTGTCTGAGGGATAGAAGGGCTGATTTGTTCTCGTCATCGAAGGAAACTACCATGTATTCGATCTGTTATCAGCTTCCATCCAATTCTCAATTTACCTCCAGTGTCCTGTTCACTGCAACACACATGGTCCCAGAATCCGGAGACCATCCTATCTAAGATGTGTGTCTCAAGCAAGTGTGAGTGTGGTATCAAACTCATCAGAAAGGAATCAAACTCATCAGAAAGGAAACGAAATGGTATGCTATACTCTTCTTACACAGAAAGATTATGATGGCAAACATTCTAACATCCAACCGTAACTTGGGAAGGATTGCATGATGAGGAAACGAAAAAACTCACCTCGTCACCCCATAACAACCCTTTCCCAGTCTGATCCTTCCATTTATCCCAAGTATTCAAAAATTGAGTTATACCATGATATCTAATATGTTCCGCCAAAGGTTTCGTATCCGGCCAATCGAGAGGTGTACCAAGTGCTAATAACCCCATTATGTATATCTTCACAAACCTTCTTCGTCTTGACTACTATCTGCACTATGTACTATCTCCTGTCCGATTAACTATACGACGATAGTCTGGGTAGGATTCCTCTTTATCAAAAAATAAAACAGGATCGAACCCCTCTTAAATCCAATAGGATATCAAACTTGATGCTCGTAAGCAATTCGGATGATTCGGGTTTGTTGTCGGTAAAGGGATCCAACCTTGCGGTGTTCGGGGAGTCGGAATCGTCGGCTAAGTAATGGGAAGTGGTGAATACTTCTTTTGTATCGTGGACCGGCAGACCGACAGCCAGTACCGGTCCCTTGTACTACAAAAGTTGAGATGGGTAGATGTGAATGTAAATGTGAAGAGAAGTTGTTGATGTGTATAGATCTAAAGCGTGAAAAGTGGAAAATATCGAGTGGAGGTTGTTCCGTACGATCCGGGAATTTGGCAATTTCGATTCCCTTGATTCCCCCCTTTAGCCGTCGTAGGATCCAGGACGAATACTATTACTGTCACTTCAAACGTGGGCGTCGTTCGTTCGTCTCAAAAGTCGATAGTCTACGGTCAGACAAACGGAAACTCAATGTACGGTAAGATACTCGTAGTACTTCCTCGATCCTCGAATGACTTATGGTGCAGAGAAGGAGAAAGGAAGTTTATTGAGAGGGGGGCTGACAAATTGTCGGTTCGAATTTTTGGTGGAGGTCGTTCCTGATCGACGATCCTTCAACTCACTCTTTATGTTTATCTTTTCTTTTCAACAAAGACCATATTGGATGAGATTAAATACTTAGGAAAATGAGAAGATGGTGGAGAGAAGCATGACGGTAGATAACGCAACTGATGTGGATATGGATTCTTTGATGTGAATGATGCATCTTTGTACACTTGAGGGCTAAATACAAGTTGATCATGATGATGACCATTGTGAATCTTTCCTACTTAGTTCATTTCCCTAAACCCCGGATCGTCATCTACACCAACAAATTCTAGATTCTAGGTTTTAGTTGAATGTCGCATGTGTACAGTGAAAACAAAGATGTTCTGGACATACGTATATAGGTGGAAGTAAATCTTAGGATACATACTCATATAGATACATACACATGTCATGCGTAAATGATCTTAAAAGATGTTTACGACTGAGACTACCTTTGTTAAGGAAACGAACAAGAACACGAACACGATCCGAGGTGCTTTCGTACGTGCTTGACGAAGTGTGTCAAGATCACCATTATCCCTTTCCACCACGTTGGCTCGACTTCGGTTAGAGATGAGGTGAATCCGAGTATGTTCGGGGTTGAGATGTCGTCGGGCATCTTAACGTCGACTGTTATATTGAGTCATGCGTCACGGAGTATCATTCCGTGAGGCGTCTTTTCAACTTGCAATGAAGGAGAAATTTCGGTGGATAGACCAGACGGAATTGAAAGGTCCAATCGACCAATCTTTTGATATGATGATTTTGATTGAGAGATAGATTAGATCAAAGATGCCAAGATGACCGAATGGTTTGAGGACTTCGCTTATGAGCAAAGAACGGGAGGGAAAGAAGCTCGAGGAGCAGTGACGAGAGAAGAAGGTGAATTGATATTTGGAGGGATTATTGGCATCGGCTATTCAAATCAGCACGTCTCATTCATGGACCGCATTTCATATGTGATCAACTGTCCAAGTCCTTATCCTGTTTCAGCACCGTGATTCTCTTTGACTGTCATATATGATCATGGTCAAACCTCGAAAGTGAGGTCGGATCATGTGACGAGTTCAAAGAGAAGATGGATATCTCCAAAAGGGGAAAACATGGTAGTAGAAAGATGAATCTTTCCCCAAGAGTAATTGTTGACTCGATAGTTTAAGTGCGGGTAGTGTTGACGATGACGATGCTACGACCCGAAATAAAACTCACCTGATTCACATCCCAGTTTATCTCGTGACAAACAACAACCCACCATCTTTCTATATTCCCAACCAACTCCGCTCTTTTTCTATTCCATCTCAATTCTTTTCGACTTTCATATTCAACTTGCAGCTTCGTGCTGTTTGCTCCATTTCTATCCATTACATCCATCATCTCTTCCCCATCTTCACATTGAACAGGAACGGTGTCATCATCTCGAATTGGAACGGTGTCGTCATCTTCATCTTCTTCCAAACAAGACCCATGATGTCCAATACCCTGATTCTCTCTTGTAGGGGAAGCCATAGCCAGGGTACACCTCAACGACGAGACGTTGGCATTGGTAAGATCCGATGTTGTCTTCTCCTTCCCTCCTTCAACATCCTTTGAGGCCGGTTCCCTGAAAACGATCTTCTTGTCATGAACTACCATGTCTGACCGAGCACCGCAACACGACGAAGCATCTGATGATCCACGTCTGGAAGATCTTCTGTGGGACAATTGAAGTGTGAAAGAAGAAGGTATATTTCTCCAAACTCTTTTCCCATCCGTTTCCCAAGCTCGACGGTGTTCTTCTTCCCTAGTTTTGTTCTCTCCCTCACTGTCATTATGCCCTCTCGCTCCCCCTGATCCCTTTTTCGCTGGATAGTTCTCTCCCATCGCGTTTGTTGCATTACAAAGTACCGTTCTCCGTCGAGGTCCTTCGCTCCCGTTCGTGTCACACATCTTCTCCCCTTGTAGCCGTTTTCGACTGATAGTCACTATTTTGAACAACCCTTCGGTCGACGCGGGTGAAACCACAACCATAGCTGTCAAATCCCGCGTTTCATCATCTTCCTCAACCTCCGCTACCGAAGTCAAGTGACCCAGTCTCTACTATAAGCGACATTGTTGGAAGATCTGGAAGATGTGTCAGCCTGACTTGATATGTCCGATGAAGACTTGGAAGAGCGACTACTTCGCATTGACCCAGAGGTACTTGTAGAGCTGGTGTCGGCGTCCGAGTAAAATGGATGTGATTCAAGGAGATTTCGGACATAACGGAAGATGGAAGTATGGTAAGCTCTGAGTGAGGGCGACATGAGGGGGGACGGAGAGTGGACAACTTAGGAAGCAATAGGAAGGTAGAAAGAGAAGTGGTAAATGGTGATTATGGTAATCGGTGGCAGAAGGAGAGTTGACCAGACGGATCCAAACGTGGATGGTCTCGAGAGTCAGGAGATTGTTGTTACACTTGTATTTTGAGTTTGGAGAGAGGGGTGAAGGATGGACGTCGAGCCTTGGTCTTGCTCGTCTTGTTCGGTTCCGGTGCTGAAAGCTGAGGGCGCTGTGTAGATGAGTTCCTATGCTTTTCGACCCTTCTGAAACCTTTTACACACCTCCCCCACTTGCTGATCAGAAAGAAACACAATTTAGTTATAAATGGACTAGTCAGCATAATCCTCTCATGAAATCGTTCAATACTGTGTTTAGAGAAGACAAATGCTTCCGACCTCGTGACTACGTAAAGAACACAAACCCGAAATTCGGGAACCGGGATATGATATGAACGTTGTGAAGGACCGACGATTACGACTGCTAATGGAAGGTCTGGAACGGTGAGTACCGTGAGATACAAGTTTGAATGGGGCGATCCCTACCTATGGGATGGGATCGGGTGAATGCTTTGTTATATGCTTGCCAAGAGACTTTGCATTAATGTGAAACGTGAAGGAGGTTTTGGTGTTTCAAATCCCGTCTTCCCCGCTTCCCCGAATTCGACAAGGTCCAGTTGTGAAATGATTACGGAATGGGAAGGAATGAACCAACGAAACGTGATGAGGATCGGAATGAGATTTGTGTCTGTAATGTACGATGAGCTCGTAAGATGAATATCAAACCTGTTCATGTATAGTGATCAAGTAAGGGATCTCGGACCGGAGGAGAGACAGAAAGGAAAGAGGGAAGAGGAAGAGATCGTGATACATCCGTGAATAGAACCAATCCAACAATATTAGTGTGCTCCAGAAGCATCGAATACAGTCTTATTTCCCCCAAGTCCTTGACCCTGGCCTGGAAAGGCATGATCGACAGGAACATGTTCCCCTGTTGCACCGGGCACATAGGCCTCTGAGGGCAATCCAGACTCGTCAAGACCTTCAGCGGCTGTTTATCAGGACAGAATCGACAGGTGACGAGATACGGACCTTCAATACAGTCGTACATGGGACTGGCGATCTCAGGTGGGGGGACCCGACCACTGTATGATCAGCAAACTACTTTAGCATAACCGAAAACGACAGTGGTGGGAGTCTTGGATGAGAGTAGGACAGGGATGAAGGAAGAGACATACGTCAAAATGTCACCGGCAGATATGGTGGTGCCGTAGAACTCCCTGTTGGCGTCTTTACGTTCGACCAACACCGTACCATCGAGAGACAGACCCGCGAATAGTCCTACTCTGTAAATTACGGATCCTTTTTGGCGGTTTCTCACAGAAAGAGCTATTGAGCACGGAATATCAGAAGAAAGAGATGGACTGACCCTTGGATCGTGAGTAGCTAAACATAGGCGCTGGGTTGGCGATGGAAGCGGAGAACTGTCCACCAGTACCGATGGGTCCGGCTGCGGCTGATATACCCCCTTGCATGTGAGCTCAAGGTCCCCAGCAGCAGAACAGGTGTAGCTTACCTCCGACAGTGACATTGCCTCCTCTAGAGAAGGCCTTAACAGCCTCGTCAGAGTTGAGAACAATCACCACTTCAGTCAAATCTGCCCGTTAGCTTATGTCCTGCTAAACTGTTGAGGGGAGGTCTTAAAAGCACATTCAAAGGGCACCTATAGATCACAGCGAAGGAAGTGAAGGAAAGCACCGCGCGAGGATGAATAAGGAGATCATGTTGGGGGGGGGGGGGATTACAAAAATGGAGTGGAGTGTAAGAGGGAGGAGACTTACCCGCCCCGATTTGCAAACCCCATCCCACGCCAGCAGTAGCGATACAACTCGGAGCAGACCAACTTCCATCCGGTAATCTTGCGATGACGATACCTGATCCAGCCTTTCCGGAGAACACAAACCCAGCTTTGAGAATGGTGAATACCGCGAGACCTATCCGTAAGTCTGAGCCGGTATTCTATGCCAATTCCTTTGTCCGGAGCCACCCTTTTCACCGTCACCTTTCCGCTTTACTCCGTATATAAACCAAGCTTGTCTCTATTGAATCCCTGAGCCATAATACCCACCCCACTTAATCCGTAATTGAATCATTTTTCCTCTACTTTGTGGGCGCTGTTCAAGAGAACCAGAAAGCCAGGGAGTGCAATGATTCAAGGAGCGAACAAGAGACTCTGTGCGAGTGCAAGATCAAGCAAGTGAGAAATCATGACTGAGCGACGTACCTTTCGCTCGTTGCAAGACAGCTTTCGGAATGGAATTCAGCGCTGATTGAGGGTGAGAAGGATCCGCTATCTTCCTTAGCACCTGACCCACATCTCTATAACACTAACGTACCGAGGAAAGATTGAAGGATCTTCGCTGCCTTTTGAGATTCTCCGGGTAAAGAGAAACTTTGCATCAAGCTGGAACCTCCTGCTGAAGCTCTGGTCGTACCATTCTTATACATCAGCACGATTTATTGTCTGTGCTTCTCCCTTTTTGAGGGTTAGAAAACCTTAGCTTCATCTTTTGTCACCTGCAAGTAAGGCGCAACCTGCTGAGCAAGTCATAGCGAATCTTTCGTGTATGGTGATAGATGAAGAGATACAAAGCATCAATGGTACGAAGTATAGTCCAAAAGGGGAGAAGAGAAGGAGAGTGATTGCGTTACTCAAGAGGAGTCCGAGAGAGAGGGGGAGGGAGAAACGAGTCTTGACTTACTTTCAGCAACGCCGAAGCATGTTGACCCGCCGCGGCAGCCTGGTTCTTCACTTTGTTGAACATGATCAAAAGGGTTGGGTAATACGTTCGTGTCCAGTGAAAGATTGGTATGAGAAAGGGAAGATGGGAAAGCAAGAAAGTGTGAGGGCAGTGTGAAAGTGAGGATTGTGCGCGACGTCATCCGTGATCCGAGGTCGGTCATAGAGTGGTGAGTGGCACTTGGCATGGGAACAAATGCCTTGTCCCATGTCCCACTGCGCCACTGCACTGTTGCATTCGCTATGTGTAGTAAGTATGCTTCAGGCTCTTCCACTGGAACAGACCAATTCATTTATTGTACAATGAGACTCTCCATGATTGACCTTATATTGTTTATATTGGTAGGCGATGACTGTCATAGGTCAAAACATCATATCTACCCTTCCCCCTTCCCTTCCCTCCCTCCCTCCCCTCATGCCCCAGACTCGTTTGTCTTCCAGCCGTGACCAATCTTACAAAAGGTATGACTGCTGCAGGGGCTAAAAGTCAAGAAGAAAGTTGTCACAAAATCAAAAAGGCAAATCAAGTTGCGTTTCCAGAAATTGCGTTGACACAAAGTGACAACGACGGTAGGATTGTTTTTTGCAATCAGCAATTGTTCAGTCTCGGATGTCTCCTCATTGACATGAACGGTCACCCCTGTAGAAGGATATTACCTTACTTTCTCACGATTGCTTCTTTTTCTCCGACGGTGTAATCGGGCTTCTGGAATTGGGGGTTGAGAGGGAAGGTGAAATGATCGAATGTGGCGAATTGGGCTCCATACGGCCTATGCCACAGACGCGCCAGCGTCAACTTACAACTGGGTTTATCCAAGTCTAGAGTACTTACTTACTCTACTTGACAACATTCACATCTGATAATTATCATTCGAATCAGTATCAGCCCTCATAGTTATTGATAACAAGTTTTGTAAGAAAGAATAAGTAAAAGGAAATGGAGAAACAAGAAGGGAAACCAACGAATGGAGAGATTAAAGAAGTGAAAAAGAAGGAAGAAAATGAACAACCTCATCTTGGTGTTCTAGAAGAAGATGATGAATTTGAAGTGGGTCATCTTACTTCCCATCTTCTGAACGTTATTGTGTTGGATCAAAGCTGATAATGATAGGAATTCCCACCTAATGGTTAGTCTTTTCAATCCGAGAAATCTCCCGGGATGGTACAGATCTGATCGGTCCTTGAGGTTGGTCAAAAGAAAGAGGAGGATGATCTGTGAGATAAAGGGGATTGCGTTTTCTTTGGTCGAGTATGTGGGAGAGCAGGATACCGGGCGTGAAGATAAATG